TCCCCTCATACGATCCTCCTCAGGAAGAGAAGGCCATCACCCGCGGCATCATGCCGCTATTGAAGCGAGCAACCCTGGTGCAGACGTTTGGGCAGTCGCACCACGTGTGCCACAAGCCCGGCAGCATCGTGGTGCCTCCCTTCGCCCCCACGGGCCACATGCACCGCCGCCGCATCCCCCCCGACACTCCCCGCTCCATCTTTGTGTACTTTCGTGGGCTGTTCTACGACCGCAACAACGATCCTCAAGGGGGCTACTATGCCAGGTGAGGCTGTGCTCTCGGATGGGCTGAGCTTGTGGAGAGTGTTTACAGCATGCTGTTGATGCGCTGCGCTCCATCTTCGTCTACTTCCGTGTGCTCTTCTATGATTGCGACAACAACCCGCAAAGGGGGGGTACTATGCCAGGTGAAGCTGAATGCAACTTAGTATGCTGCTTGGCTGCGGGCCCTTCCATCCCCCTTCCTCTCCCACTCTTCCAATCTTTGACTCCCAGCATTCTACCTCCTGCTCTCCCTGCTCCCCGTGTGCCCTTTTCCTGTACCTCCTGGCCTGCAAAGGTGTGCATGCATTCATGTGGGAGAACTTTATATCCAACCCACTGTTTGACATGTCAGCAGAGCACTCCCGTGTGTGGCCTCATAACTGCATCCGACCCCTCCCTTCCCCCTCATGTCCCGTACCTCCTGGCCTGCAGGGGTGCGCGTGCGTCCATGTGGGAGAACTTCAAGAGCAACCCGCTGTTTGACATGTCAGCGGAGCACCCAGCGTCCTACTACGAGGACATGCAGCGCTCGCTCTTCTGCCTCTGCCCGCTTGGCTGGGCGCCCTGGTCGCCCCGCCTTGTCGAGTCCGTCTTCTTCGGCTGCATCCCCGTCATTGTCGCCGACAACATCGTCCTCCCCTTCTCTGACGTCATCCCGTGGCGGGAAATCGCAGTTTTCGTCCCGGAAAAAGACGTGCCGAAACTAGATGAGATTCTGGCTGGGATTGGGCCGAGGAGAGTGCTGGCGATGCAGCAGCGGCTGGCGTCTCATGCGATCAGGCAGGCTGTCGTGCTGGGGCACCCGCAGCCGCAGGAAGGGGATGTGTTTCACCAGGTGCTGAACGGGCTTGCGAGGAAGCTTCCCCACCCACCATCGACGTATTTACAGGCTGGGGATGAGAGGCTGAATTGGACTGCTGGGCCGGCGAATGACTTCAAGCCGTGGAAGCCTGACTCCCATGTTTATTGGTGAAGATTGCTCCTGAGACGCCTACAGAACGGGGTGTACTGACTTCCATGTTTATTGGTGAAGATGGTGCTCTGGAATGCAGGGCATCTCAGCAGATCAATCTAGGGCTTACCAGCTAGACAGTGTGCCATACTGTACCATCTATAGCATAGATGTGTGGAACCCATGCAGTACCTTAGTTTTTTATTCAGAAGTTCAGAACTAACGGAATGACAAACATATGCAGCCACTGCAACCTTTCTGAAATAGCGAAGTCCTACTTACAAATGGCTACCTTGACACCAGAAGGCAGTGCAGTTATAGCTGGAAGGACTACAGTAACCCTATGCTGGTGCTGCTACTGCACCAATTTTGCCTCAAGCACATGGTTGATCCACACGCGAATGCTGATATGGGATGCTACATGACAGCTTCCAACACTTGGCACCCAATAAGAGGAGGTCTTCACAGGAAGATCCTCCCTAAGTCCCGATGCTCCTTCACCAGCTGCTGCTTGCTCCTCATGCACTCCAAACTTCACCACCACTGAATAATCCCTCTGGCCACCTGCCACTCCCCCATCCCTGACATCACTGACTGCTAATGCAGCACCCCCCTCTCACTGCCTGTTTGATTCCCTTTCCTCTTGCTGCTCCCCTCCTCCCATTGCTGCGTCCCTCCCATCTGGCACCATGACCTCAACCTGCCTGCAACCTACTTGCTGTGGTACCCTTGCCCACACCCCCCCTCCACACCATCCGACCTTTGTCCCCCCGACCTCACAAGAATGGCTGGCTTTCACTCGTTGCAAGGCCAGTTGCAACAGGGTTTCCTTCAGACGACGCCTGGTGGAGCTGTGGCTGTCGGCCATATGATTGGCAGGATCTGCCCTCTCCCGCACTAGATCATGTACAATGGACCTGATAGTCCTTAGAAGGAGCACCCGTTCCTTGCTGCTGCTGATGCTGCTACTACTGCTGATAGGTTTGCTGCCAGAGATGCTGCGAGCGTTGCTGGCAAGCACTTCTTCCTTGTCACAAGTGCAGCTGTTCTTGGCCACGTTGACCTGAGACTGCAGCAGTGGACGCTCAGATTCAGCACCTGTTGACTCCAGCACGGCAGCAGCAGCACTTGGATCTGGCACTGCTGAAGACGTTGAGATGGGAGAAGACGCAGCAGTAGTGACCTCAAATGCAGCGACTTGCCCTCGGAAGCGGCCTATTCCTCCCGGCTTCACATCCCCCGGGCCAACACTCTGCACCGTTTTGGACTTGTGGCCAGCAGCAGAACTGGTGAAGGAGGGAGAGGTATGGGGCTGTCTTGACAGGTTCTCAAGCAACGGCCTAATGCTCTTCAGCACAATGCTGTTGCAGTGGTCAGTGGTGGGACGTTTCGTGCAGTCAATCCGCACTGAGGGTTGAGGGGGCTTGAAACACAAGGGTCTGTTGGCACGTTGTGGTTTCATAGACGCCACTTGAGTAGGTTTACCGAATCGTCCAATGCCTCTGGTGGTGACTGTAGCGGAAGATGCTGCCGCGTCCGCCTTCTGCTTTAACAGAATTTCCAGCAGAGGTCTCAAGCTCTTCAAAGAAACGCCGGTGCTGCTGTTGCTACAGCTGCAGTTACAGCTGCTGCTACCAGGCTCATTATGGTCATGAAGGCATGAAGTTATCCTGACTGCCTTCGAGCAGCAAACAGGAAGACGCGATTCAGGAACGGTGTTGCCCTGTGATTCGGAACAAACCACCGTCTTAGGTGTGCCGAATCTGCCAATGCCTTTGGTCCTGCTGATGAGGTTACTGTAGCTAGCTCCGGCTAGCGACGTGGATTCCAACTTAGCTGTTTCGACCTCTATCCCACTTGTTTCCGCATGCGGGTCCATGCAAGCAGTGCTTTAGCTAGCTAGATATCTTGACACCTCGGTTTGCAAGAATCCAAAAAGCCTCGATATGCACGTGAGATCGGAAGTTGCTAGGTGGGAACCAGATCACGCTGGAAGCTAGCAGTTACCAAACGAGTCTCGAGCTGGAAACTAGCAGTTACCACATGAATCTCGAGACAGAGCAGCACCTTACGTCCCGCGAGAGGCTTCTGGGAGTGCTTCTGGACTGATTAACATGGGTCGTCATCATGTTACTCTCCAGGCCGCTTGAGGTTTAGAGAGCAAGAGAAGGCCGAACGGCTGAAGACTTCTAGGGGAGGGTTGACAAGGACAGAATTGCACCTGAGCTGTTCTCCTAGCCGTTGAAACCGTATCCAGCCGAATCAGAGGGAATTGGCGGGATGAAGGGATAAGGCAGCCTCGGGCGAGGCAATCTCGAAGCGTGCAGCGCTCCTGCTCCTGATTCGCGCGTCCTCGAGGCGCCTTGATTTTTTGGCTTTGGCGCCACTTTTCTCGTCCCAGCCTGAGTGATGCTGCTGACGCCGCTGCATGTTACCGTAGATAGTTACACAGTGTACCCCGTGAACTAGGGTTCGCGAAGGCATCGCACAGCAATGGAACTGCCCGACACTTCCACCAATCTGGGCAAAGCTGCCGCGCATGCTCTGGGAATGACAAGGGGAGCGATGGTGGACCAGCTGAATCTGTCCGCTTCTAGAAAATTACATTTTCTCTTTCAACGGGCTTGCTGGTGTAGCCAAACAAAGCACTAAATTTATTGGAATATAAAAGGTTCGAGCCTGGACATGTTTCAACTGGACAAGTTATTAATTCCATCAAAATTTGTGGTACAACTATTATTCTGTACAATATATAAACTAGAATTACAGTCATAGTCTTATCCCTAATGCTTCATTGCTGCTCTATCGTCCAAGTTAACATTTCGGCAACTGGTGTACTAAATCCGTCAATCATACAGCCTCCACCAGATCAACAGCTGCTACTGCGGACAAGAGCAGAAACCCTGCACCCTGAACCTGAGTTTCGAATTAGCCTTTTCCTTGCACCTGTCGCCTCGAGCTTATCGGCCTGAATCTAATCGCTTATATCTGAAAATACATTGAATCGAAACAGCGTATAATATACGTCTGCAAGGCGTATGCTAGGTCGCTTTTGACTTGAAATCCAGGAAGAACAGAAGAAGGCTGTTGAACAGACAATTCGCATGGGGCCAGTAGGCAGGCATAGGGGAAGAGGAAGAGGGGGAGGACGAGGAAGGGGAAGGGGACGAGGCGGGGGAAGAGGGAGCTGGCGAGGTGGGGCAGTCGCGGCCGCAGGGGGAAGCGCAAGGCCTTCCGCCGGGGGGGTTCAGGATGCGAGGGGGATGGGGAAAGGGGATACGCGCGGGAGGGGCGGAAGGCGAACGGGGGGAAGGGGGGACTCCCGTCCTGGGGGAAGGGGAGGGAAGCGCGCAGAAGGGGGTAGTCTAGGGGAACGGGGTAATGAAGAGGCGGAGGAGGAGGAAGATGCGGGTATAGGGTTGAGTGTGGCTGGCCCTGACGCTTACTCTGCCCTGCTGACATCGCTGGGAAAGAGTACACGTGGCGCGCTCTCACAGGTCTACTCTCAGAGGTAGGGAGAGATGACTATGATGCGGGCGATGCGTGCGGCGCCTGGCTTTTGAGGCTCGTGCAGCAGCGCGTATGATGCTCATCATGGCAATGTGGCCGTTTTTAAATAATAATAATAATAAAAATAAAAAAAAACGCCTGCAACAACGATAGCTTGTGCAGCTGCGCGTATGATGCTTGTGATGTCAATGTGGCCGTCAGTCATGTGTTTGTTGCTCTCACTTGTTATTTGTGCATGCACTCATGCAATGCATGCAAGCATCTGGGATTCTGCATGACCGGCCTTGTGTGTTTTGGGGCGAGTGTGGTTGATTGCAGGGAGAGGGACGCATTGGGGATAGAGAGCGAGGAGGAGGACGAGGAGGAAGAAGATGAGGAAGGGGAGGAGGGGAGTGAAGAGGAGGAGGAGAAGAACGAGGCAGGCGAGTCAGATCCAGAAGCAGACGGGGAAAAAGGGGATGCAGATGAGGATGAGGAAGAGGATGGGGATGAGGAAAAGGATGTGGGACGGTCTGTTGGTGCTTCTGGAGTGAGAGTAGATGATGGTAGTGATGGTGAAGAGGAGGAAGGGGAACCAGAGGAAAGTGAAGAGGAGGGAGTGGATGAGGAGGAGGAGGAGGAAACTGGAGGTGGGGATGGTCATGCTGCTGCTACAGCCAGACTGGAGTAAGCACACCCAAGCAACCCAACGTTCCATTCCTCTCGCGATCAACATTCCCCGCGCTCGCACTTCGTGTCACGCCCACCCCCTTGCTTTGAACCTCCGTTTGCCTTCCTTGCCCTTCCTAAGCCAATTCCACACCTCCACTCTCCTTGACACCTCGTGTGCTTCCCTTCCTCGTTCTCTCGTTCCTGTTTCTCTCGTTCTCCCACACTTCCCCAGCCCAGCCCATTCGCCCAGCAGCGCATGGAGCACAGCACATGCTCACTCCACAGGAGCTCCTCTCGCTGCAAGGCCCAGTGGCTCCGGTGGTGCAGGGAGCTGCACGGCGTTCAAATTGTCTCACTCTCCCCCTTCCCCTGACTGCCCCTCTCACACGCGCCCCCAGCCCATTCGCCCAGCGCATGGAGCACATGCTCTCGCCACAGGAGCTCCTCTCGCTGGGAGGCTCTGCTGACGCCGCTGCTGCTACTGCCTCTGCTGCTGCTGCTGTTGCTGCGGCTGCTGCTGCTGCAGGAAGGAAAGGCAAGGCCAAGGGCAGTGGCAGTGGCGCTGGCAGGTCCGGTGGCTTGGGCGGTGCAGGGGGCGGCAAGCCACTCAAGTTTTCGTATGAATGGCCGGCGATGGGTGTCCCGGGCAGCAAGTGGGTGGCTGACCATGCACTGCCTTGGACGGCCGCTGCTGTGGATAAGGACGAAGATAAGGAAAAGGATAAGGATAAGGGTAAAGAAAAAGGCACGGTCAAGGGTAAGGATAAGGCGAAGAGTAAAGAAAAGGACAAGGAGCAGGAGGAGGAGGTTGTGGATGCGTGGGAGGGGTTCAAGGGGCGGTTGAAGGAGCATTGGGGGAGAGTGGTGGAGGAGGATTATGCACCGCTGCTGAGAGTGAAGCAGGGGGGCGGAGACAGCAGCAACAGCGATAATAAGGCTGCTAAAAGCAGCAGGAGCAACGTGAATGGGGACAGTGAGGGGGCTGGGAAGCGGAAGAGGGGGAAGAAGGGGCTGGCAGCCACAGCAGGGGATGGATCGGTGGATGGATCGGCTGATGGCCCGTCGCCAGAGGAAGCAGCCCTTGGGATGTTGGGATCAAGCAATGATGGGTTTGCGAGCGACCATCAGCGCCAGTTCTTCTCCCTCTGTGAGTCACTCGTTGTGCCATGTCCTTCTTGCCCATCCCATCCCCACCTCCCAATCGCATCCCATATCCTCGCTGCCCATATTCTCTCTGCCCATGTCCTCTCTACCCATATCTTCTCTGCCCAGCATCTCTCTTCCCACCCGCCAGGCATCATACAAAATCTCCTGGTTCTGAGGTGCCTGAAGCGTAGTCCCTCCTCTTCCCCACCCCCTTGGATTATTTCTCCCCCAACCCCCCCCCCCCCCCCCCTTTCCCCCTCCTCCCTTTCCCCATCCTTTCCCCTCTCTCCCCTCCTTCACCCTCCTCCCCCCTCCCTCCCCCAGGCACGTCATACTCAGATGTGCTGCATTCGCGCCGCCCCTGCGCCCAGTCTAAGTTCGGCTCGCCGCTGGACGCACAGGCCCTCACCGATGCCTACCTGCTGCACGCTGTACGCCCCCTTGCCCCCTTGCCCCCTTGCCTGCTTGCACCTGCTTGCACCTGCTGTTGAACTGTGCTGCAAGCTCAGTCCAAGTTTGCCTCGCTTCTGGACGCACAGGCGCTCACAGACGCCTCCTACCTGATGGACACGGTACTGTGTGTGCGCTAATTCACCTGCTTGCACCTTCTCTCAACTGTCCCTTAGCCACATACACACACACACACGCACACACTCAATCACAGACACACGAACACACACACTCACTCACTCACACACACACACACAGCTGAACTGCTTTTCACGTCCTGTATTTAACTTCCTTCCTGCCCGTAATCTCACCTCCTCCTTCCCCCGCCTCTTCTTCCCCCCACCTCTTCCCAACTCAACCACCTCTTTCACACGCGTGTTCTCGTCACCAAGAGCGGCAAACTGTAATATGTGAGTTTTTGAGACGTCTCAAAAACTCACTTATTACACGTGGCTCTTTCACACGCGTGTCCTCATCACCAAGAGCAGCAAAATCAATCGAGCCTCTGAGTCAATTCTCTCCTCATGATCCCCCTCTCATCCCGTCCTCTTCCCCGCTCACTCTCCCACCCCTCTCCTCTCCCCAGCTGAACCATGTCTTTCACACGCGGGACCACATCACCAAGAACAACAAAAAGCTCAACCGAGCCTCTGCTGCTTCCTGTGTGTCACTCCCCTTTTTCACTACCCCCCTCTCTTCCCATCTTTTCTCCCTCTCATCTCCTCCTCTATTCTCCTCCCCAGCTGAACCACGTCTTTCACACGCAGGATCGCATCACCAAGAACAACGGCAAGCTCAACCGAGCAACTGCTGCTTCCTCCGCGTCACTTCTCCCTTCCAATACCATTCTCACTTCCTTTCCTCTATCCCCGTCGTCTGCCCGACTCCTCTCCCCAGCTGAACCATGTGTTTCACACCCGCGACCGCATCACCAAGAACAACGACAAGCTCAATCGAGCCTCTGCTGCTGCTGTTGCTGCAGCTGACGCTGCTGATGCCGCCGCTGGTACAAGTGGGAAGAAGAGGAGTAAAGGTGGTGGGGAGAAAGGGAGCAGTCAGGGGGGTAATGCAGCAGATACAGCTGTTGCAAGCTTAGAAGCAAGGGAACAGGGGAAGGGGAAAGAAGAGAGGGAAAAGGAGGCGGAGGCGAAGGAGGAGGGGGGGCAAGCGGAGGAAGGTGGGAAGGGCGGGGAGATGGAGGAAGAAGGGACGGCGAGTGTGCTTTTCAAAAAGGGAGGAAAAGGAGGGAAGCGAGAGAGGAAGGGGCCAGGCGGAGGAGTGGTGGATGGGAAGGAGTTGGTGGAGGTGGAAAGTATCCCCAGGGACCAGGGTTTTACTCGCCCTAAAGTGCTCGTCCTACTGCCGTATCGCAATGCTGCTCTGAACGTGGTGCAGCGGCTGCTACGAGTGACGCCCCCGCAATCAAAGGTCAGTGGCTTGCCTGAATGCGATATTTGTATGGACCCAGCAAGGAGCGGGTGGAAGGGAAGGAGCGGGTGGAAGGAAAGGAGCGGGTGGAAGGGAAGGAGCGGGTGGAAGGAAAGGAGCGGGTGGAAGGGAAGGAGCGGGTGGAAGGAAAGGAGCGGGTGGGGCCAAGTGGTGGTGAGAGCATTCCCAGGGACCAGGGCTTCACCAGACCAGGACACAAGTGCTGCTGCTGCTGCTCCTGCCGTTACAGGTAGCAGTGAAGCACTTGCATCTTCCTCTTGCTGAGTTCCCCTTCCTTGCAGGCAGCTTACTGAGGAGTCATTGTACGCCTTCGTGTGATCAGACATTCCAAGGAGAAGGTTTGGCAAAAGAGAAAACAGTAGTAGTAAAACCTAGCTAGTTTACGTAGGGTTCTGTAAAGTCGAAGCTCAGGCAGCTTACTGAGGAGTCATTGTATGACTTCTCTCCTTCCTTCTCACGTTGGAGCCGTCTCAAAGGCCGGTCATCGCCTCGTTGTCCCCATGATTGCAGGTAGTAGCAGTGGAGCACCTGCATAGTTTTCTTACTGAGTTTGTCGATTTCTGAGTCGACTCATAAGTCGCATTTCAGTTCGCTTCTCCTCAAACGCCCTCCCTCCTTCTCACCCACCCCGCGCTTGCAGGTAGCAGTGGAACATTTAGATCGCTTCCTTGCTGAGTCATTTTCTGACTCACCTCAAGAATCCTCCTTTATTGCCCTCCTTCTCTGGTTTTTGAGAATTCTCAAAAACCACTTCCTTGCTGAGTCATTTTCTGACTCATCTCAAGAATCCTTTTATGCCCTCCTTCTCACACCCGCTCCTCACCGCCCTTACAGGTAGCAGTAGAGCATTTGGATCGCTTCCTGGCTGAGTTTGGAGAGGATGAGAGCGTTGAGGAGGAGAGTGAGGAGGAGGACGAGGAGGAGAGGAGAAAGGCGAGGGAGAGGAAGAGGAGAAAGCAGCAGCAGCAGGTGGGCCGTGGGTTGTCATGGGAAGCAGAGGAAGTGGAAGATGGAGGTGAGGAGGAAGGAGGAGGAAGTAGAGGAGAAGGTGGGGATGAGGGTGAAGCAGCAGCGGCAGTGCTACGGAAGGGGCTGAAGCCGGTGGATCACCGAGCCATGTTTGCCGGCAACAATGACGACCACTTCCGACTCGGCATCAAGTTCACCAAGTATGTGGTGCTGTGTGGTGCTGTGTGGTGCTGTGTGCTTTGCGGTGGTGTGCTGTGCTATGCTGTGCTGTGCTGTGCTGCGAAGGGGGCTGGAGCCGGCAACAACGACGACCACTTCCGCCTCGGCATCAAGTTCATTAAGTGAGGTTTTCAAACACGGCGGTGTGTGATGCTGTGCGGTGGTGTGGTGTGCTACGAATCACCGGGCAATGTTTACCGGCAACATCGACGACCACTTCCGCCTCGGCACCAAGGTCACCAAGTGCAGCTTCTCCTGCAGCACACCAGCAGACCACAACAAACACCGGATTTCGTTCACCAAGTGCAGCTTCTCATGCGGTGTTGTGGTCTGCTGGTGTGCTGTCATGTGACCGTACCACAACACCACTAGACCTTCATACCATCATACTATCATACCTTCATACCGTCATACCATCATACCATCATACCTTCATACCATCATACCATCATGCCATCATGCCATCATGCCGTCATGCCATCATGCCATCATGCCATCATGCCATCATGCCATCATGCCATCATACCATCATACCATCATACCATCATACCATTATACCATCATGCCATCATGCCATCATGCCATCATGCCATCATGCCGTCATACCATCATGGCATCATGCCATCACACCATCATGCGACTGCACCATCCCACCATCCTGTTTCCTGTTCCTATCGTCCCAAGATGTACACGAATGTTCACCACCCGTCACCCACCCATCACATCTCACCCCCACCCAACGCATCTCATCCCCCGCCCATCATCCCAGGAAGGCAGTCCAGCTCTACACAGACTTCAGTCGGACATCATCGTTGCCTCGCCCATTGTATCCATCTGTCCCTTGTTCCATCCACCCATCCCCCACCCATCACGCCAGAAAAGCAGTCAATCTCTACATGGACGTCTACCAGTCGGACATCATCGTTGCCTCGCCCATCGTACCCCATCGTATCTTCTATTCCATCCACCCCCCCCATCCCCCTCCCATCCCCCTGCCCATCACCCACCTATCCCCCGCCCATCCCCCTGCCCATCCCCCACCCATCCACCACCCATCATCCACCCACCATCCCAGGAAGGCAGTCAAGCTCTACACGGATTTCTACCAGTCCGACATCATCGTAGCCTCGCCCATCGTACCCCACCCCATCTCCTGTTCCCGTGCCCCTTGGCTCTTGTAACTCTATCCCATCACCTGCTCCTACCCATCCAGGAAATCAGTCAAGCTCTACACGGACTTTTACCAGTCGGACATCATCGTAGCCTCGCCCATCGGCCTTGTCACCGTACGTCCTCTCCTCACCTCCTCGTTGCCGCCAAGTTGCCCTCTTCCCACACCTGTTCCAGACTTCCTGTCCTTTTCTCCTCGTTTCCGCTTTCCTTTTCTCTTGCCTCCGCCATCTGAACGGGGAAGAGAAACGAATCGTCTCAGTTTCACAACTGCTTGCCTCGCTCAAAACTTGCCTCGCTCGCTGTCACGGCTGTTCAACACTTCCCCCTCCTTACGGCCATGTTTGCTACTTGACCCCGTCCATTGAAAGCGGCTTGCCATGCCCATCAGATCAGTCTCAAGTTCATTTGCATCGTTCACTTCTTCGATTCGCCACCCAACCTCTCTCATCTCTCTTTCCGTTCAACTCCTGCGCCAACTTTTTTTTCCCATCTGTACCTACCTGCACCCACCTGCACCCACCTGCACCCACCTGCAGAAGCTGGGCGAGGCTATGGAGGACAGTGAAAAGGACATGGACTTCCTCTCCTCCATTGAGGTGCGTGTGTTCAGTCAACGCTGGTCAATGCTGGTCAACGCTGATCAATGATGGTCAATTCTGTTTAAAGCTGATGAATATCACTTAATCTGTAACAGTCCAGGCCAGATATGTGCGTGAGAGTGTTCATGTGTCCGTGTGCACGCGTGCATGCATGGGTTTGTCAGGTAGGCACGCAGATGTTGGGGTGTGGGTTTGTGCAGGTGCACTAGTGACATGCATCACACATGCATTTTGAAACGTGCACCATGCACCACTCTCGTTCTCTGCCAACATTTTAACAGCATTGTCACTGCTACCTCTCCCCACTCCGCTTACGCTTCCCCCGTTGCCATTCCGTATCACACTCTCTCCTTCCGTCTTGCACCGCGTTTTCTCAAATTTTATCCCGCATGCCACGTCATGCCCGCCACATCAGATTGTCATCGTGGACCAAGCTGACGTCATTCTCATGCAGGTGTGCCATCTCATGAGCTTATCAGGTGCTTTCGTAATCTACTGATAAGCTATCCGATAGGCTGACAGGCTGTCATCTGCATCCTTTCTGTACTGATAACGCTTTTCTTGGGTTAGTACGGTAGATAATTGCATCTGGTAATCCCTCCTCATATCCAACATGCACTCAACCCACACTCCCCATTCTCCCCACCCCCCTCACTCACCGCAGAACTGGGCGCACGTGGAGGCGGTGTTTGCGCAGCTCAACAAGCTGCCGGTGAAGCAGCACGGCACTGACTTCATGCGCGTGCGCGAGTGGTGAGGGGCGAAAGCGGGGAGAGTGGGGAGAGATGAGGGGTTAGGAAGAGAGGTGATCTTTGCACAGCTGAACAAGTTGCCAGTGAAGCTGCACGGCACTGACTTCATGCGCGTGCGCGAGTGGTGAGCGGTGGGAGAGGGCGAAGAGCAAGTTGGGGGGAGAGGGGAGAACACTGATCCGCGTGCCCGCACAATCCCACACAAGCCTGCAACTTGAGCGCATGATCCACGTGCGAAATTTTCTCATCCCTCTTATTCCCATCACCCATCCTGTCATGGCTCATGCCGTCATGGCTCATGCCGTCATGGCTCATGCCGTCCCCCAGGTATCTGAACGGGTGGGCGGGGCACTACAGGCAGTCCATTGTTCTCTCCGCCTTCTCCCACCCCTGTGAGGCTCATTGAACAATCCCTTCCTTCTGTGATCGTTCTGGGGCAACCCTGCCCTTCCCTTCCCTTCCCTTCCCTTCCCTTCCCTTCCCTTCCCTTCCCTTCCCTTCCCTTCCCTTCCCTTCCCTTCCCTTCCCTTCCCTTCCCTTCTTCCCTTCTCCTTGCTCCGCCCTTGTTTCCTCTTGCTCCGCCCCTGCCTGCCCATCACCTCCATGCGTGTACTACTTTCCGTTTCTCCCTATTCTGAACTCCCATAAGTGACCCATTTTGACAGCTTTAAGAAATGACAGCTTATGGATTCTGCTGGCTTGGCTATATGATCCAGCAGAGTGGAGGATCATTTTTGAGTCGACTCACCCTCTCCTCCCCTCTCCTCCCCTCTCCTCCCCTCTCCTCCCCTCTCCTCCCCTCTCCTCCCCTCTCCTCCCCTCTCCTCCCCTCTCCTCCCCTCTCCATTCCTCCCTCCCCACCCTCATACAGCCATCAACGCTCTCTTTCACCGGTCCTGCTGCAACTTCTCAGGCAAGGTATGCAAGAAGTAGTGTGCAGTACAGCACATCCCACGCACCCTTACTCTTACTGCTGCATGTCCTATCTCACACAGTGTTTCAGTACAGTGCTTCTTCTACTGCCTCTGACAAACTCAGCCTTCTCATCCCCTCACATCTGTGGCATCGCACATCTGTGGCATCGCACATCTGTGGGTGGAGGGTGGCGCATTGAAATGTATAATGCCCCTTGAAGCCACTACAGACAGCTGCCATCGTTTGAGGCAAGGCAACTCTAAGAAGGGGAAAAAGAAGGGGAAAGCGACAAGGACAAGAGGAAAGCGAAGCGACAAGAAATGCCACTAACAAGGGGAAACGGAGACACAGATGCAGCAGGTGTTTGTCCGCATTGACTGCATCGACTGCATCACTCACCTGTATTCACACCTCCCGTCAACAGGTGACGCTACAATCAGAGCGCGCAGCAGTGCTGGCGCTGGTGTTGAGAAGGGTACAGCAGGTGTTTGACCGCGTTGACTGCATTGACTGCACTGCCATCACTCACCTGTATTCACACCTCCCGTCAACAGGTGACGCTACAATCAGAGCACGCAGCAGTGCTGGCGCTGGTGTTGAGAAGGGTACAGCAGGTGTTTGACCGCGTTGACTGCATTGACGCTACTTTTCTTATCACATCTCCTTGCCCCTACTCGCCCCCATCAGGTGAAGCTTCGATCTGAGTACGCGGGGGTGCTGGCGCTGGTGGTACCGCAGGTGCAGCAGGTGTTTGACCGCGTTGACTGCAGTGCCATCACAGCAGCAGCAGAGGCGCGCTTCCAGTTCTTCGTCTCCACCATCTTCCCGCGCCTCCGCGACTCCGTCCAGGTGAATCCCCCAACTTGTCCCATCTGTTCGCCTCTCTCCGTGACTCCGTTCACGGAGATGGAGATGTGATTCCCATCTGTCAGTCCTTGCTTGCTCTCAAGCTGGTTTTTGAGAATTTTCAAAAACTGACTCTGTTCACGGAGATGGAGATGTCAGTCCTTGCTTGCTCTCGGCGTGTCAGTCATTGCTTGCTCTCGGCATGCCCAGTGTGTTGTGATTATAAAGCAAATGTCAAAAAAGAAACTGCTGTTTCGTCTCTGTACGTTCTGCTGTATTCTAAGAATTTTCCTTCATACTTTCACCATGCTTCACCCCTCTTGACCTTATCCAACTCTTCCCCCTAATCTCTCCCCCACTCTTCCACCCACCCCCCCCCATTGCACACACCAGGAGGGCGTGCTGGTGTACACGCAGTCTTACTTCGAGTTTGTGCGCCTCCGAAACTTCTTCAAGCAGGAAAACCTCTTCTTTCCCTCCACTCTTCTGCTGTTCTCTCCCCCACTCTCCCCCCCCCCCCCACATTGCACACACCAGGGGGGCGTGCTGGTGTACACGCAGTCCTACTTTGAGTTTGTGCGCCTCCGAAACTTCTTCAAGCAGGAGAACCTCTCCTTCTGCCTCCTCTCCGAGTGAGCACCTATTTTTGAGCCGCCTCGAATCTGAAACCGTTGTGGATACGCCTTTAACCGTAATCGATCGTTGAGAAACCGCTCGGTCTGAGTCGAGTTTTGAGTCAACTCACCGTTGTGGATACGCCTTTAACCGTAATCGATTGTTGAGAAACCGCTCGGTCTGAAACAATGGTTGAGGCACCAATCAAATAAATGCTTCAAGCACAGCATTCTCTCCTTCTTCATATATTCTCTCCTCCTGTCCTTCTCCATATATTCTCTCCTCTCCTTCTTCATATATTCTCTCCTCCTCTCCTTCTTCATATATTCTCTCCTCCTCTCCTTCATATATCCTCTCCTCTTCTCCTTCTCCATATACATATAAGCCCCTCCTTGCCCTGCCCTCTCCGAGAGCGTGTGTCTGTAGTTCTTCCAGGCGTTGAGATTCGCATTGTCGTTGCCTTGTTCCAACCCCTCCCCGTTCCCCCCTCTCTTCCCTCCCGGTACACGGACTAGCGCAACGTCCATCGGGCGAGGGCATGGTTCATTTCCTCCCCCTTCCCCCTCTTTCCTCCCCTCCTTCCCCTCTCCCCCCGCCTACCCCCCAGGTACACGGACGAGCGCAACGTGCACCGGGCGAGGGCGTGGTTCTTCCAGAACCGGCGGCGCATCATGCTGTACTCGGAGCGATCGCACTTCTACCATCGTTACCGGGTCGGTACCCACGCCCACCCCACTCACTTGCTGCTTTAAGACATCTCAAAACGCATCATGCTGTACTGTACTCGGAGCAATCGCACTTCTATCTACCACCGCTACAGGGTACTGGCAGCCTGGCAGGGTACTGGCAGCCTGGCAGGGCACACACCCACCACGCTTTTCGCTTGAGAGTTCTTGAAAGTGATACAATACAAGCAGATGCTGCATCATGCTCTACTCAGAGCAATCGCACTTATGCCACCGCTACCGGGTACTGGCACTGGCAGGGCACACACCATTCGTGTGACTTGAGGGTTGGGTTCTTGAGAGTGATACAAGCACATGCGTGTTGCATCATGCTCTACTCATTGCGGCCGCACTTCTACCACCGCTACCGGGTCGGTACCCACGCCCACCCCACTCACTTGCTGTTTTAAGACGTCTCAAAACGAATCATGCTGTACTGTACTCGGAGCAATCGCACTTCTACCACCGCTACCGGGTACCCTCTCTCTTGTCACCACGCTACGTGCTAGGGTTTCTGCAGCCTGTAAGGGTTTTTGCTGGCTGTTAGGGTTTCTGCGGGCTGTTAGGGTTTTTGCTGGCTGTTAGGGTTTCTGCTGGCCGTTAGGGTTTCTGCTGGCGATTAGGGTTTCTTCTGGCCATTAGGGTTTTTGCCGTCACCCTGACGTCTCCCTCCCTACTGTCACCCTGCCCTCACCCTGCCGTCTCGATCCCTGCCGTCTCCCTGCCGTCTCCCCCACACCATCGCGCTGCTGACCAGATTCGGGGTATTCGGGAGGTGGTTTTTTACTCGTTGCCGTGCTACCCACACTTCTATGCTGAGGTGGGTGTGAGGTGGCGGGGATGAGCAGGGGGGAAGGGGAGAAGGGGGGAAGGAAAGAAATGGAAATGGAGGTCATATTTTACTCGTTGCCGTGCTACCCACACTCCTATGCTGAGTTTTGAGACGTCTCAAAACATACCCACACTCCTATGCTGAGGTGCGAGTGAGGTGGGGGGTGAAAATGAGGAGAGGGGAGGGGGCGGAAAAGGGGAAGTGTTTATGTGCTGTGGCTTATGGGGGGGTGAGAAGTAGGCAGGTGAACGGGGTGGGCGGAGAGGGTGTAGGGGCGAGAGAGACGTGGGAGCTATCCCAAAACTGTAAACCCTTGCTTTATGATTGGCTTTTCACTACGTCTCGATGTGCTTTATGTACTCACCCCCCCGCTGTCAGTTCATAACTGCTTTGCTGGGCTGTGGGCTGTAACACCTTTCCTACTTGTCGCAGGTGTTTTTTTTGTAATTCCCAAGTAACACCTGCAGGTCTGTGTGCTGTAACACCTCCTCTATACCCCCATCCCTTGTCCATCTCTTGTCTCTCTCGCAAACCCTCTCCTCAGATCCTCAACCTGCTGGAAGGGCTGGACAACAAGACACATACAGGCCCCTTAACACCGCTCTCTTCCCCTTGCCTTCCCTACCCCCAACCCCCCTTGTCTTTCCCATAACCCCCCTGTAATTTGATTCTCAACCTGCTGGAAGGGCTGGACAACAAGACACATAAAGGCCCCTTAACACCGCTCTCTTCCCCTTGCCTTCCCTACCCCCAACCTCTCCTGTCTCTCCTTACACCCCCCTCATCGCAGATTCTCAACCTGCTGGAAGGGGTGGACAACGCCTCCTGCGCCGCCATCTTCACTCGCTTTGATAACCTCGAGGTCAGCCCCCTGCCACCCTCCACTCATGCACTCTCACACACTTTCTCACACTTGGAAAACCTTTAAGTCAGTCCCCTCACTACCTCCCTTGGACACTCACACTGTCGCTGCTCCCTGCTGCCCATGCTCTCCTCTGTCCTGCTGCCCTCTTGCTCTTATCTTCTATTGCCTTCTCAAGGCAGCCTCATGATGATTGACATAACAGCACCCGTTCATCTTACCGTATCTTTATTCCAACTGTGGGGTGTGTGTGTGTGTGTGTGTGTCTTGCTGGATGGAAAATCGTATCTAATGATTATAGCTGGCAAGGATTGTGGGATCTTCTAGAAGCACCAGGATGCTGCAATCCCCCAACCACACGTTCATGTTCTGCTGACATGTTAAGCACGCGTACGTTCTGCTACCTTAATTGCCCGACCATACCTCGTGCTCTACTGATGGGTCAACCACGCTTTTATTGCCAAACACACCTTCATGTTCTATTGATGGTTCAGACAAGTGTGTGGGCAGTTTTTAGTCCACATTCTTGTTCAGCTGCTGTCTTATATGTGTGATGTACTTTTATGCATGTGCATATCGTAATATGATGTTTTCCTATGGCGGCTGCCAGCCGTATCAACAGAAGCCCACCACGAGAGACTTCTTACAAGCGTTAACGTACGTTTTAGAAGGTATGTGATAGCAAGGCAGCTCTTCCATAATTTTACCAAGGCAGTGTGATAGCAAAAATAGTCTTACAAACTGGATTCACTATTTGAATACAATTCTAACCGCAATGTGCGGGCAGTATGGCAGCACGCCTTCGGTCGGACGATAAGAGGCAGAAACACAGGACGCGCCCAGCGCGTCCGTAACCTGTCGCCGTTCCTCCTCGTATGAGTAGCTACCTACGAGGTAATTAACTGCTAGATTGTGACCGTTACATCCATCCGGTTACATCCATCCGGCGATGAACGAAGCTAGGCCTTTGCGAGAGCCCTTCGCCTTTGCCACGCTGCTGGAAACAGAAACCTTCTCCGAAGCTTCGTCGGCGCTGCTCTGCTTGCTCGTCTTGCCGAAGAATCCCTTCTTTGCGTGGTGTGCAGGCGAGGCGGCTTGGCGCGCTTTAGTAGTCTTCACTGATTCGTATTTAGCGCGGAAAGAGGCGGCGAGCTCATCGTGCTGGCACGGCTGCGCGGCCGCCGGGCAGCCGCAAACAGCATCAGCTTCCGCTGGGCAGTCGTGCGAAAAGTCCTCGAAGGTTCGGTTCATCCAGTTGGCCGCTGCGACGGCCTGCTGCGTTTCGACCACGGCGAGCGCCGCGTTGCGAATTCGCGAACGAGCGTCGTCAACCCACACCGGGTCGCACGCGAGCTCGGCTTCCCAGCACGACGCGCCGCTGCTGCTGACGCGACTCCCGTCCGAGGAGTTCGAGTCTAGGGAGAACCGCGAGGTATAATAACGGTCTGAGTCGGAATCGTAGTCGTCGGCGTCGCTAGCGCCGCTGCCGCCGGCGTAGAGGTTTGCGGCGCGGGTGGAGGGGTAGAGAGACGTGTAACGATCCCATTGGCTGTCGATATCTGTGTCCCAAGGCGAGGAGATGGCCGCGGCTGTTCCTGTGTGATCCATAGTAATATAAATAACGCCAAGTAATAGCTGAGAGGAAGTCTGTAGAGTGGTGTTATCGCTGATTAGACGCTAAGCAGGCGAAGGATGTTCTGGTTGAGCTGGCTAGTGAAAGGCTGGCTCCTGAGTTTCTGTTGACAGAATGTGAGAAGCCTCTGGTTTTATCCGTTGGTCGTTTGCTTGCCCAGCCAGTGCCTCATCAGCTACGGTCCTCCTGCTTCTGTGGCTCCTCTGGTTGTGCTGCTGCTGGGGAGAAGCCCTCTTGCCTCCTCCGCGCTTGCGGAGGAAGCTGCAGCCAGCCAGACCAATTCCTTCCATCATTCCGCCAGCCCCACTTCCCGCCCCCACCGCCTCCGCCCGACTCTGCCCCTCCCCGGGGCCTGAAATCGCACTCGATCCAGGCATCGCAGCGCCGCAGTGGTGCAACCCCTCTTGTCCCTGCGCCAACGCGCATTTCAACGGAATCTATTTCCTCCTCACCACAGTAGAATCAAAACCACGCGCCACCAACTGCCTGCCAGAGGGACAATCACCACCCCAGTGGTCCCCAGCCCCAAGTCCTCTCGACCCGAGTCCAGCGCACCGACTTCCTCCACTCCAACTCTCCTCATCCGCTCATTTCTTTCGCCTACTCCTCACAACCGCGAACTTGATTCCTTACGGTTTCCAAACCCTTGTCCATGTCAGCACCTAGCCACTTTCGAAACCCGAGGCGGTGTGGCTTCTGAATTGTGACCACACCCTCATGAAAAGAGATCTGTTCCTATGTCGTTGACAGTCTGGCAAGCGGGGAGGGGATGACGTGTTGCATCATGAATGCGATACAAGGCGATCGGGATCAAGCGTTTCCGAGCAAGCTCGAAGCGTGAATTGCGATTTGATGACATGGCCGTATATGCACCTCGTAAGTGCAAATTTATATCCGTTTCAGCTTCACTAGGAAGCCAAAACGTGGACGAAAGGGCTGACCACACATCTGTGATCGTTACTCGCAACATAAATGCACTACAGTGTCTACATCAAACTTTTCTATTCTGCCCTGTCCCGCCCCCATAGACTACAGTTTACAATCTTTATCGTGCTAAACCAAGAGAGGACATACGTGAATGCCGTCGGAAACAAGAATGATGTATTGAGGGGGATCACGCTACAAGTTTTCACTGCCGTATAATAAATTTTGTGCAAGTTGCATTTCGGGCAGCAGCAAACGATCTAAATGCTGCTAGCCTGAAACCAGCCCAGTATTGAAATGCTCAGTAAACGAGGAAAAAGATTGAGGGGTGAAGTGTGATCAACACCAACCGCACCTTGAGCCCATCAAGCTGACACTGTACAAGCACAAGGTCTAGCCAGAAATCTTATCCGTTTATACAGTTTATTTTGCTGACCGCGCGACGCGGAATCCAGGCTGTCCACAAGATGCTGGTACTGTATACTGCCCAACAAACTGATTCATTGGGGTGATCACAAGTGATTCCGTCTCTTATACAAACAATTAGCCAGTGCGTTAACTTTTAATCGATAAGCCTTACAGACATGTATACGGAGGCATGATTTAACATTTACTTTAAAACATAGGTATTCAACCATTTATGCCAATTGGATCGAGCTTCCAACTATGGCAGAATTTGTGAGCACAGCCTTGAATAAGTTTACACACATTTAGTCAAAATCCATTATTTATTTATGTGCCTAAGCCATTCCACTAGTAGGATCACAAGCAGATATATCTGAATGGTACAGCAGCACGTAGAGAGATTTAGGACAGAGGAAGGGAAGGATAAGAGGAGCAGTGGGGTTGGGACAGGACAGGCCATGAGGGTCATGGCTCTGTGCGCCAGCACTTGTGCCACACCATGTCCAAACCCAGCTGTGCCACTGCATACCGCATAGCAGCACCACACCCTGCACTGCTGCTCTCCCACTTGCTCTCCCACATGCCTCCCCACTTGCTGCCCCGATTACTCTCCACCCCACCCTCTGCTCCGTCCCCTGCCTCTACAGCAGCCCCGCTCTCCAGGCTCACGTAGCGATCCGCCACCCTCGTGCTCGTGCAGCCATAGCTGTTCCCGCCGGTGCAGCTGCTGCTTGTCTCGCTTCCCAGATCTTCCCTTGAGGCAGCACCCATACATGCGGTTCCGGTGCCAACCATGCCACCACCCATGCAATCAGACAACGCAGTAAGACTCCGAGAGCGCATTGGAGGTGCCATGACTCGAGCATCAGGTGTCAGGAGCTGACCATCAGCAGAGCAGATGGAGATGGTCACAGGTGGATTCCCAGGTGCTTTCCCAGGTGGTTTCCCAGGATTTTCGAGGGCATGCTTGGCGTGGACTTCAAGTGGCAAGGGCACCACCTTGGAGCTGTTAAGAGAAGCATACGCAGAGGCAGATGCAGAGGCAGAAACAGCGGCAGCAACTTCACCATTGTAAAACAGCCCGAGAACACTTCGCCTGCCCTCCCCATTGCCACCTTGGTTCACTGCCTTGCTGTCACTGTTGCTGAGACCAACGCCGCCACTGGCACCACCGCTGCTGCTATCCTGGCTGCTCATGCCGTGGCCTGTGTTTCCCAGCACAGATCTCACACCATCTCCACTCCCCATGTTCTCCTTCTCCCCGCCCTCTGTCCCCCTCTCCACCTGCCTCTCCACAGGCACCCGGATGGTATCATCGCGGTAAAACCCGTCCTCACACATAGGAGGGGTGAGCACCACAGGAGGATTGCTCACCCCTTCTGCTGAGCCCATTCGGCTCGGCTTGTAATCTGCTTCTGAGTAGATCACCGTACCAAACGATGCGTCCGTGCACACGGTGCCTATACTCGCTATGCTCGCCGTATCATCAAAAGCCTCCTCGTTCCCTTCCTCGTTGCCTTCCTCCACCGCACCCATGAGAGACATGAGCCCGGCCTCCCTCCGTCCTGACTTCCTCCTGCTGCTCTTCTTCCTCCTCCCTCCTCCTCCGCCCCCTCCACCCCCTCCTCCCGCCCCGTCTCCTGCTCCCCCCTCCCAGCTGTTCTCCGAACCTGATCCTATCGGGGCTAATCCTGAGCCTCTCTGCTCTGGGAACCGACGCTGCGAGCCAGGTATGGGAATGACTGGCTTGATGTCACTGGAGGTTAGGTTAGGGAGAGGCATAGGCAGCTGGGAGAGGAACTGCCGAGGCGGCAGCTGCACCTGCTGCTGCTGCTGATTAGGATTCTGCTGCCACGAGGAGTGCTGCTGCTGCTGCTGCTGAAGCAGAGAGTAACCTTGGGGGCCAGAGGAATGGAAGCTAGAGAGCGGAGCAGAATGAGGGATGGAAGACAAGGGACCAGAATAAGGCGTAGAGGAGAGAGGGCCAGAGAAAGGGGTGGAAGAGAGGGGGCCGGAGTGCGGCAAGGTAGAGCCCGAGAGGAGGCCTGAAGGGGCGAACTCTGGGAGGAAAAGGACGACTGCTGTGCAATCGTCAGGCCTGACCGATTGGTGCCTTGCTGCCCAGAGGCTGCGAGCCTGAGCGATGAGATGCCGAGCGGCGGTCTGACGGGTTGGGGCGGAAAGTACTGCTGACATGGCTTCCTGAGGAGTCATGACATCCCAGAGCTGGAAGGGCAAAGGGAGCGGAGCAATGGGAAAGCAGAAAGGTGATTCTATCAGTTGGCATGCCCAGCTAATGTTTGTCAGAATATAAAGTGACACAAATAAATAAAGCATGAAGGGAAGGTGAGGAGGGAACGAATACACAGAAAGGGGTTAAATATGTAAACAAAGGAGAGAACTGGCAGCATTGATACACTCTGCAAAACATGTATCGTGAAAACAGCTGCATCCGAAGCTGAACCAGCACCATAACAAGACTCACCCCGTCTGAAGCGAGGATAATGAATTCGTCCTCCGAAGTGAGGTGCCGAATCAGGATATCTGGCTCGGCAATAACCCCGTAATCCTTCACCACGAAGTCGCCGAATGCTCGCGAGGGCACCAAGCCAGGGCTTCGCTCACGCGGTAACCAGATTCGCGGGGTCCACGGCTCATGTTCCGACGCCTGAACCCGCCCTCCAGCTTGCTCAATTCGCTTTCGCTCGGCTGCCAATAGCGAAGGAAAGCAAAAAAGGATGACGAAGTCTGATTCTAATTCCAGAGTGGAGCTCTAGCTGCACGTAGTTGTTCGCGGTGCGGAATTCTACAATTCTGAATCGCGCAGCGACGAACCCAAGAGACATTATGCGCCAACAGCACATTGCCTTGACAAAAAACTTCCTCTTCCCTTGAGCCAACAGCCACAAGCTGACCACAGCCAAACATGCCAATGATGCCACCCTCTCCCCCCACTCCCCCTTATTCCACCCTGGCCCTCTCTCCTTCGCATTTAATCTCTTTCCCTTGTGTTCCCATCCCCCTCCACTCACAGGCGACGCTGCACTTGTGGTCGTTGGTGAGCGGTTTGCACTGCATGCCGTTAATCGCGGGCGCGGTCCCGGGAGCTGCGTGGCCCGCCTTGCAACGATACGCCAACACTGCGCGCGAATCGCCAATGCTCGCCACCACCAATCGACGGCCCTGATTATCAGGCGAAGACGAGGGGGGAGCAGGCGTACGAGCGGGCGAGTGGGGAAAAACGCGCCGGTCGGGCGGATAGTGCAGGGTAAACCACAAAGGCGCCCCGTCCAATTTTTTCACACATGACATCATTTTTGAGAACCGAAAAATGAAAAACTCGGACGAGAGCATCCCGTCCAGGACTGGGAAGCGACCACGTAACGGACAGCGGCGACACAGGCGCTGCCGTTTTTGCCCGTAACTGAATCGTGGAAGGTAGGAAACTCACCAGCAGGGCAGCGACGACAGCCGTGCTGCCGCTGACGTGGCCGTCCACGTGCGGGTGGCTGCGCAGCTCGTCGTCCATCTCCAGAAACGCGCGCCGAAACGCGCGCTCCACCTGCGCCTTCGACGCCTCCCTCGACGCCTCGGCCACCGCCGCCGCCGCCGCTGCCGCCGCAGAGGATGCTGACGACGGGGTTGAGTGATACGGTGAAACGGACCCCCGAGGCGCGGAATTTTCCAGCGAATTGGCAGATCGCGATCGCTGCAATGTCATCCCGAACCCTCCGCTCCCTCCGTCGCCACCACCGCCGTACCCCGGAGCCACTCCCAGAGGGTGGACTTTGCCCGAAGAGCCTTTGCTCTTGCTGCTGCCTCCATTAACTCCGAGCCGCTGTAAGAGCTGGTCGCTTGCAGGCGCCATCAGCGGCGCGCTCTTGTCGAGGTGGCCGTATGGCGACACGGTTGCTACCGGCGGCGGCGCGAGAAGCGACGCGATGCGGCTCGGGAGCGAGTCGCGCACGCGCTGCGAAACGAGGTGGCCGTTGGGCCCATGACCGTCGAATACGGCACAGAAGATGACGTCAGATGCGGCGCCAGGAGGCATGCGGCCTTTCACGCGACCCGCGATTTCCGGGACGTTAAAATCCTGGCGGAAAGCAGAAAAGACGAGACGGGAAAATTACGAGGCGGTTAGGCGAGAGAGAAAGGGGGTTGGGGGGTGGAAGGAGGGATTTTGAGACATTTCAAGGCTAGAATAGGAGAATAAAAGCCAGACATTTCGAAAGCAAGGGGAGGATGGAATATGGGTGGGAGGTGTGAGGTCACTACTCGGTGTCCGCACTATGCTAATATCGGGATCAAAAATCACACGCAGAGGATGTAAAAAGTAAGAAGTCGTAGGTACGGGTGACGCACCTCCCACGCGATCATGGAGTCCTGGTTGCAGCCGTGCCGGCCGCCGGGCTCCGAGAACAAGCTACAATGCTCCAGCGCGCCGTTCGCGGTGAACCGCAGACGAATCGCCGACAGCCCCAGATCGCGCCGCACCTCGTCCTCCAATAGCTGCTTGACACGACTACCCGACGCGATGGCTGGCCGCAGGAAGGGGCAGAAAGCAGGTGGGTGAAGGGAAGAGAGATGGTGGGGAAAGGTGGAGGAGGGGGTCGTGATTGGTGAGGAGGAAGGAGGGAAACCAAAAGGAAAAGGGAGAGGGCGAGAGTGGTGTGACCACTTCCCTCGAGAAAAAGCTCCCCTCGCTACAAGATGCAACGGTCGTAAGGGCTAAATTGCGCGCTATGGTCTAAATAGAGAGCCTGCATTGTCGGGAGTCGCAACTCTCATGATGCTTCAGCGACGCACTCGTGAGACGGGGTCCGGCATAATAAGACCGTTTGGAGGTGCACGCTAAAGAACCCTGCCGGCGGCGCCTTATCCTCGGAGCCTTATCTGCGTCGGGGTGCTGCTTTCTACCGAATAATGGCCTCAGAGCGCCGTACATGCGTTCACGCGCCGTGCCTGCGACCCCTCACCTGCGCCCTCTCACCTGCGCCCCCTCACCTGCGCCCCTTCACTTGCCTTCACGTGCCCTCACCTGCGTTCACGCGGTCTTTGAGCTGCTCCAGCTGCCGCGCTTTCCGCTCGATCGCATCGTCCTCCCCCTCGTCGCACACCGGCTGCACCTTCGCGGAAGCCCGCGCATTTCCGCCCTTCCTCGAAGCATGCGTAGCGGCCATTCCTCCCGGCGCGGCGCCGATCGCATCTACCAGCTCTGCCGATGCGGCCGCCCCCATTTTCACCCCTCGGACTGCGTTGACAGGGTCTGAGATACCGCTGCTGACTTCTATATATCTTTAATTTTTATATCTTTGCAGTAACGGGAAGGGTGCAGACGATAGAATGCGTACTTATATGACTATAGTGGGGAAGAACTGGAGCAAAGGCAAGTATCAGGAGAATGAATCGAGGGAATGGAGGAGACTCAGCCGGTGGCGGCTACGAAGCGACTGACGTTCCATGAGTTGATTATGACCCGCTGCGCTGGTTAGACCCTACAAGTCGACTACAGTGTGTTTAAGAAACGAAAATATATAAAGGAAAATAAACTATTGCAGATGCTCTGCGCGCTGGGGTCTATTACAATGGACCTCGCCTGGTTGAACCCTGGAACGAGTGATAAGGGATTGTATGGACCTCATGACACCTCATAGCTTTGAACAGAGCTCGATCGCTTCGTCGAGCTATGTCCCTTGACCGCCTTCGACCAACTATGCCGCGGCGACTCGTGCACTGTGCTGTGAAGGCAAGCGCGAATCGAGCTGCTCTGTTCCAGCACAGGTGGATAAAGGTGAAGGACAGAGACTTCCTGAACCAGCTGCCACAGCAACTTGCTGTGGGGGGGGCGTGCTCCAATCGAAGGCTTCAATGTAACGGAACTTGGAACTTGGAAAGGACTTGGGTGGGATGAGTGTATGGTAAAACGAGGAAGAGTTTGGCAGGAACCTTACCCAATCCGTCAAAACTACTATGAACATTGTTCTATCTCTGTGAACCGAAGTCGAACGACCTTCTAGTATCCAGGCGCAGCAATCACACATGCCTTGGCTGAACTGTTTCCATTGGAGAAAAAAACTATGGAATGGATGGTGTAGTGCGCGTGGCGATTGGTGAATGTGTGGTGCGGATGGGGCGCTTGTGGCTGGAAAGAGGGGCGCAAGCAATGAGTCGAATCGAAGCAAGATGTCTGCGTGCCGTGTTTGACTCGCTCCAACATTGCGGCTCGGTGCTGCGCCTCTTGAGCGCCCTTGGTCCAGGAATGTGGAGCGGCTCGGTGAGGAAATAAATCCACGTGGCGATGCTGGCGCAGCTGGTGGCCCCGTAACCGGGAACGCATTGCACGAACCCTGGATCTGGTTCGTGCAACAGTTCCGCCTTCACATGTGAGTGGCTGATGTCACTGGCACGTAACAGAGGTGCCGCATCTGACGCTTGCTGCGACTTGGCTGACCAACAGCCCCGGCAGCACGACCGTATTTCTGAATAATTCGTTCTGAGTCGCAAATATGGGTAGGTGTATTAGGTATCTCATGTTCCAGAACCTTACACAACACCTAAAACAAAGCAGTACTGAACAGAAGCTTCACACACCTCTTTCACCAGCTCACTGGCCTTATCATGTTGTGTCCTCGTTGAGATCACTATCTAACATGTAGCCATTCATGTTCTCTCATTTCCTAGCTCCTTTAGCACTCGTTTGTGCTCTTAGTGGTGCTTGCGATGATGCTCATTGGAACAGCATTCAACTTACCTACCTCACCGCTGCATTGCTAGCACTACACTAACTCGCATCCCAGCGCCGCATAAAGAATGCGCGCAACACAATGAACTACGACGGGTTACGCCAGCTCTCGTGCACCAACGGCTGTGTACAGGTGCGAATCCGCAAAGCTCCCCGGCAGCAGTCTGAGAATGCTGGTGCTGTCCTGTCCTCCCAATCAACCTCGGATGCCAGACCGGTGAGATGCTAGCTGCGAGAGCCACGCAGGGAGGACTGCCTCCGACTCTCCTGCTATAAGGAAGATATTGTAATGCTCGAGACGTCTGAAATACTGTACCAAAACATTACAACAGTATTCGCCAACATTTATGCGCCGACAGCTGTGTGCCTGTGCGAATCCGCAAAGCTCCGCAGCAGCCGTCTCAGCATGCGGGTGTTGCCCCACTCAGCCTCAGATGACAAAGCGGCGAGAGGCGGAGGAGAAGAGGCAAGCTGCGCGAGCCACGCAGGGAGGACTGCCTCCGCTTCTCCTGCTCTCAAAAAGCCGGGCGGCAGGGAGGAGAGCTGAAAGATTGTTGGTGGGAGCAAGCGGGGCGTGGCACGGGGCAATGCGGGAAGTGGAAGAGGGACTGAGAATGTGATGTGAGCCATGCAGGGAGGATTGCCTCCGCCTCTCGTGCTCACAGGAAGCCAGGCGGCAGGGCGGATAGCTGTGAAATGCAAGGGCAAAACAGGTGTAAGGAGGCGGATTCTTTCTCGAGAGTTTTAAAAGAAAAAATCCAGCAGAGATGATCGTGAGATTGAGAAGGTGAGCCACGCAGGGATGGTCGCCTCGCTTCTGGTGCTCTCTGATAAAAGATTTGTTTTGAGACGTCTCAAAACAAATCTTTTATCACGTCGCAGGGATGGTCGCCTCGCTTCTGGTGCTCTCTGGAAGCCAGGCGGCAGGGCTGATAGCTGGGAGAGGCAAGGGGGATGTAGGATTGGTGTGGGGAACAGGTGCAGAGTGGCAAGCAGCAAGGAGGGATACGAACGAGGGATTAAGATTGTTAACCTTGCAGGGGGGGATTGCCTCTGCCTCTCATGCTCTGAGGAAGCCAGAGGAGAGCTAAGACAGTGACAGGTGTGGGAGGTGTGGAATGGGCATGGGAAGGAAAACGAGATGTGGCATGAACAGGGTGGGAGATTGAGGAAAGAAGGACAGAAATGATGCTCAAGGTGACTAGAAAAGCTGACTCGGTCTGCAAGATGATTGGATGGGAAAATCAAAGGGGCGTTTTGACACAACATGACCCCAACTCCCGAACCAGTCACCCAACCACCCAGCCAGCCAGCCAGCTATCCAACCTGCCACCCACCGCTGCCACAAGCCATTGGTGCATCGGGGCCAGTGCTGCCTGCACTGCTGCCGCCGCCGCTGCTGCTTCAGCTTGTGCTGACCCGGGCGTGCTTTCCTGTGCGTGAGGGGAACTGCCAGCGCGAGTTGCACAGCAGCACACGTAAAAGAGTTGCTGCAGCAGACCCACACACTTGTGCACCTGGTGGGGAGCAAGGGAGGGGAGGAGGAGAGAGGAAGGAGGTGAGCTTCAGCGTCAGCTGACCCTGGCGTGCTTTCCTGTGGGTGAGAAATACCGCCTAATTGAGCTGCACTGCACTGCAGCACACGTTGAAGAGTTGCTCCTGGTGGGGAGCAAGGGAGGGGAAGGAGAGGAAACGGGAGACTTTTGAGCAGCACACGTGGAAGCGTTGCTGCAGCAGGCTCACACTTCAACCGTGACGGAACTCGTCTTCTAGAGTTTTTTTGGGAGTTGCTGCAGCAGGCTCACACTTCAGTGATAGCATTTAGGTAGACGCAGAAATAGCGCCAGAGCACAGAGCAGAGCGCACACGGCAGTGCGAGAGCACACAGTAAATGTACCCGTAGGTGACTATTGAGTCGACTAAAAAATCACATGGCAGTGCAAGAGCACAGAGGAAACGTACCCGTGAAACAGCGCTGGGACCCAGCAGGGCAGCGATGAGTGTGTGGGAGAGCAGAGCGCCCTGTGCCGTGCACAGCTGCACCAGGGGAGGCACTGACTGCTGTGAATGTGACTGTAACGAGAGAAACCCCGCTTGCTGTGTCCCTGCTGTCATCAAGGCTGGTGTGTGTGACAATATTGAGGCGGGGTGGTAGCGAGCGAGCAAAGCGGGAGATGATTTTTGAGGTGCCTCGAAAGTCAAAACTTGGCCTGCTGTGTTCCCGCTCTCACGAGGGTTGGAGTGAGCGAGAGTGTGCAACGACAATCGCAGGGAGGTGGGGACGGTAACGAGCGGAGGGGTAGGCGAGTGCAACAGTGTTTTGGCATGGGAGTCAACGAGGGGATGACACCGTGTTTCCCCGAGTCCTCCGTACCGTACAGCACCCTTTCCTCCTCTGGAGAGCACGAGCACCTCTACAGCACCTCTCCAAGACCTCTTTTTGAGTCGACTAAAAAACAGAGCACCTCTAGAGTTCCTCTCCTAAACCTCTTTTTGAGTTGACTATATGAGATAGAGGGCAAGCGGGGAACGAGATAGGCATTGACTAGCCCGGTATGAAGGTGAAGGGGGAGGCAGAGACCTCCCTGCAGGCGAAGGAAGGTGACATGGTGTGTTGCGGAGCGAGTTAGGTGTGTGACCCGCCTGAGATGAAGGCGAGGGAAGAGCCAGAGACCCCCCTGTGTGCTGCCATGCTGTGTTGCCCCGTGCTGCTGGTCCTGCCAGTGCTGCCGTGGAATCAGGAGCGTGATGCAACCCACCTGAGATGAAGGCGAAGGAGGAGGCGGAGACCCCTCTGTGTGCTGCTGTGCATCCCCGTGCTGCCACTTGCAGGAGATGGGAGAGCGGTGGGAGCACGGGCGATGAGGGGTCTGAAGCCTGCAGGTAGGTGAATGGTCGGGAGAGAAAGGAGGGATATTGGCGATTGCAATAACAGGGAAGGAGGAGCTGATTGCAGTGCATTGAGGTCGTTTTTGAGTCGACTCAAAAAAATCGACTCACTACATGCGGAATAAGAGGGAAGGAAGAGCTGATTGCAGTGAGAGATGGAAGGGGACAGAAGCAGGCATGTGGTGCCAGTTGCAGGGGATGGGAGAGAGGTGGGAGCAGAGGTGGGAGCAGAGGTGGGAGCAGAGGTGGGAGCAGAGGTGGGAGCAGAGGTGGGAGCATAGGTGGGAGCAGAGGTGGGAGCAGAGGTGGGAGCATAGGTGGGAGCAGAGGTGGGAGCATAGGTGGGAGCAGAGGTGGGAGCATGGGGGGGGAGGGATGTGAGGCCTGCATGCAGTGGAAGGGGCGAGAGGGGAGAAGAGGACAAGGCGGGCGGAGTTGAGGAATATGATTGCAGTGACAAATGGGAAGGGGTCGTGCTGGCCCTATTATGAATGGAACCGGAAGAGAGGGGAGGGGAGGGGAAGGGAGGGGAGGGGAGGGGAAGGGAGGGGAGGGGAGGGGAGGGGAGGGGAGGGGAGGGGAGGGGAGGGGAGGGGAGGGGAGGGGAGGGGAGGGGAGGGGAGGGGAGGGGAGGGGAGGGGAGGGGAAGGGGAGGAGGGGAGGGGAAGGGAGGGGAGGGGAGGGGAAGGGGGCGAGGGGAGGGGAGGGGAGGAGAGGAGAGCTTGGTGGCTCACCATGTGAGCAGGCGGCACGAGGTTGAGGAGAAACGTTGCTAAGTGCAACAGCGCTTCCGCGAGCTCTGGTTGCTGCTCCGCACCCTTGGGGGCCTTGAGTGCCATGCTGGCAGGTGCTGACACGAAGAACATCAGCGCTAACGTGGCGCGGGCTGTGCTGAACTGGAGCTGATCGGCAGTAGTGAGTGGTTGCAGGGAGAGGAGTGTTTCGGTAGTTCGGAGGATGGGCGGGCAGAGAAAGAGGGAGAGGGGGGCGGGTGGTGGGCCAGATGCAGAGAAGGCGGATTGAAGGGAGGAGAGGGCGGATTCGGTGCAGGGGAGGAAGGATGGACCTGGTGGGATGGGATGGGGTGGGATGGGGAAGGGAAGGAGTTAGAGACGGTTTGAACAAGAGAAGAAGGCACAGAGATGGTGGATAGGCGAGACAAGGCATGGTACATGCAGGCGATTGGAGAGAGCACGGGGTGGGTGCAGGGGAGAAAGGTTGGCCCTGGTGGGTGAGAAAAGAGGGGAAAAAGTTGAGTTTTGAGACGTCTCAAGTTTTGAGTTTTGAGACGTCTCAAAACTTGCAGGGGAGGAAGGTTGGGCCTGGTGGGTGAGATAAGAGGCGAAAAAATGCACTCAGAGTGCAGATCACCTGAGAGCGTGGCGAGTGGAGCAAGGCAGCGGGCTGCAGCAGCCACCGCAGAGGTCAGGGCATCACGGTCGAGAGTGGGGGAAGAAGAGGAGGAGGAGGGGAGGGAAAGGAGGAATTGCAAATGTGGCCAGCAGGCAGACAGAAGGAACGACTGGATTCCCCCACGTGTCTCCGCTGGTTGTAGAAGTGGCTGATCCGGTGATTGCATTTGGTGTGACTGTAGCGAGGGGGCCAGCTGCTGAAGGTATTGTGGCAGGTGAGGGTCCTCCTGCCTCTGAACCTCGGGTGATGGTAGGGGAATGTGCTCCAAGAGAATGGTGAGCCTGGGGGGGGGAAGGGTATGGTTTAGTTTCTTGAACAATGAGTGTGTGGTGTTGACGCAGGAGGCAAAACACAAGTCGAAACCGAACAGGGGTTGCAACAGAAGCTGAGCAGGAGCTGAGCAGAAGCTGAGCAGGCAGGAGCTGTATCCACAAGTTTGCGTCTTGGCATTGCTTCCCATTGTTGGATGGAATGGAGATGCCACGTGTAAAAAGTGTTGTTGGATGGAATGGAGATGCCACGTGTAAAAAGTGTTGTTGGATGGAATGGAGATGCCACGTGTAAAAAGTGTATCTTTGAGACGTCTCCAAAATACACTGCTTCCCATTGTTGGATGGAATGGAGATGCCTCACCTGGACAAGGAGGTAGCAGCGTCACAGCAGCATAGTTGTCTTCACAGCAGCATAGGACAAGAATGACATTTGAGGCAAATTTTGATGCGATGTTTGAGGCGCTTGACGAAACATTGGGGGAAAGAGATGCCTCACCTGGTCAAGGAAGCGGCAGCCTCACAGCAGCTCTTGTTGGTCGGTTGTTGCTGCTGGCGGGTTGTGTGGGTGGATAAAAGCAGGGAGAACGAGACCGTTAAAGAAAGAGAAGAGAAGAGAAGAGAAGAGAAGAGAAGAGAAGAAAAGAAACAAAATGAATAATCTTAAAAACACTGAATGACCATGGCTGGTGGGTGTACTGAGAGGCCCTTCCAGACATGTCAGCAGCACAGCTCATTTGTGGAGTAATGAGAGAGTTCCGTTCCTCTGGTTGGAACTTAAAGCTTTGCTGTTCTGGGGTCTACCTTCGACTCAGACGGTATAGCAAGCGAATTACATACCGAGAATGCGTGCAGAGCTGCAAGCACGGGGTGCAGCAATCGCTGCAGCGCGTTTTTGAGAATTCTCAAAAACAAGCGAATTACATACCGAGAATGCGTGCAAAGCTGCAAGCACGGGGTGCAGCAATCGCTGCAGCGCGAGCAGCAGGTGGGAGGGTGGCAGGGAGGAGACGGAGGAGGCTACTGCTGTGATGATGTCAGCCTCCTGCTTCGGCTGTAGGCGCGCCAGGTGTAGGGTCTGCAAGGGGTGGAGGAAGGAAGTGGAGGGAGGTGAAGAGGTTGAGAGAACAATGGAGTGAGGGCGGGGGTTGGAGGAAGGGGGAGAGGGGGAATGAGCAATAGAGTGAGTAGTGCGTTTTCCCTTTCCTAGCGAGAAAGAATGTTAAGAGAGTCATCACAGAGCAAGAAAGGGAGAGGTGGATTGGATTTGTGGTGGTGAGGTACCGAACACAGTGCAGAGCAGAGCTCTTTTTGAGGCGTCTAAAAAAACCGCGTGTAGTGAGTCGGTTTTGTGAGGCGTCTAAAAAAACCGCGTGTAGTGAGTCGGCTTTGTGAGGCGTCTAAAAAAACCGCGTGTAGTGAGTCGGCTTTGTGAGGCGTCTAAAAAAACCGCGTGTAGTGAGTCGGCTTTGTGAGGCGCCTCAAAAGACCCCTTACCTCGCCCACAGCCAGCAGCTGAGGTGCATTTTGAGGCGCCTCAAAAGGTACCGAGCACAGTGCAGAGCTCGTTGTGAGGCGCCTCAAAAGACCCCTTACCTCGCCCACAGCCACCAGCTGTGCCGCCAAGCCTTCGTTCTCCGACGCTGATGCAGCAGCAGCAGGCGGTGGTTCCTCGGAATTGTGTGCCTCACACAGAGCGCAGAGCGCAGCAGCACACGCCGACGTGGCCTGCTCGCTCGCTCTGCTACTACCTCTGCCGATCCTCCTGCCGCCCCTTGCAGGTGTGGGCGTGGCTCCAGCGGGGCCTGCTTGCTGTGATGTGGGAGGCAGCAGCCCCTGCGAGAGGGATTGCCTGGCAGGGAGGTCGGATGGAGGGGGAGCATGTTTTAAGACGTCTCGAACGAATACTGCTGCTCATTCTGCCGCTCCTTGCAGGCATGGGAGTGGGCGTGGATCCTGCCAGGCCAGCTTGCTGGGGTGGGGTTTACGAGAGAGAGGGGTTGTGCGGGCAGGGGGAACAGATCTGCATGGGAAAGCAAAAGAGGCAGAGTTGTGAAGAATGTAAGGGGTCAGGGGAGATGACGGTGACGAATGGGGGAAGATGTGAAGGGATGGGAAGGAACGAAAAAGTTTGGGGAGGGAGAGGAAGGGAAGAGAAGGGAAGAGAAGGGAAGGGAAGGGAAGGGAAGGGAAGAGAAGGGAAGGGAAGGGAAGGGAAGGGAAGGGAAGAGAAGGGAAGGGAAGAGAAGGGACGTACAGCAAGGCAGGGACGATGGCCGGCACGCGAGGGAGGAAGGAGAGATACACCAACACATTGGCTGCCACTGCTCGATGCACCTGTTGAGACGGAGGATGATGAGGAGATTTTTGAGGCGCCTCAAAACAGGATGATGGGGAGACTTTTTAGGCGCCTCAGAAATCGAGGGAGGAAGGAGAGATACGTCCTACTACCTGTTGAGACGGAGGATGGGGTGATGGCATGGGGTGGTGGGAGGGGGCGATAGGATGGTGGCATGTGATGGGAGCATCTGGTGGGGGCATGTGATGGAAAGATGGCATGTGATACAGACATGTGATGGGGGCATAGCTCTATGTGCATCCCATGTACCCATGGCAGCAGAGCAGCATGGAGGCATGGGGAGATGCAGGAAGGACAGCAGCAGTGGGTGGCATTGGCAATGCTGGCTGGCAGCAGATATGGCTGACTCTTGACCCAATTATTCCTGTAGCACCACACGCCTCTTGTCGCCTTTTATCCCACTCACCCACGGTTGTAACGCCACTCACCCACGGTTGTAACGCCACTCACCCACGGTTGTAACGCCACTCACCCACGGTTGTAACGCCACTCACCCACGGTTGTAACGCCACTCACCCACGGTTGTAACCGGGGAGCAATGGAAGGCTGGGGAGCTGTAGCAGCAGCAGCAGCAACAGCAGCCACTGCTGTTAGAACCTGACATGCCCATGCCGCGTCCACTGGCCTATCAGAATCCGCCACCTGGCCAACCTGCAACACGGCATTCAAAGAAACATCATATGGGGCACACACATTATTTTCTAGGTTTTGCGGCATACAAGCACACACAATAGTACCTTGGCTTGGGATGCTAGCACAGAGCATGGAGCAACACGGGTTGCAATCTGCTACACATGCACATGCACTCACAACTCAGTGTGCCACTCTTTCATGCTCTCACTCACTCACTCGCTGCTCGGTGTGCCACTCCCTCCCTCACTCACTCACACACTCACTCACTCGCTCGCTGCTCGGTGTGCCACTCCCTCCCTCACTCACTCACACACTCACTCACTCGCTCGCTGCTCGGTGTGCCACTCCCTCCCTCACTCACTCACACACTCACTCACTCGCTCGCTGCTCGGTGTGCCACTCCCTCCCTCACTCACTCACACACTCACTCACTCGCTCGCTGCTCGGTGTGCCACTCCCTCCCTCACTCACACACTCACTCACTCACTCACTCACTCACTAATACTACACTGCCACTCACGGCCTGGGAGGCGAACAGCTGCAGCTCCAGTGCTGAAACGTCGGCAAGCAGTTGGTGGGGTTGAGGGGGCGGAGAGACCCACTCGCTCACTCACAAGCACAGTCGGAGGAAGATACAATTCACTCTCTCTCTGCTCAATCTGCCACTCACGGCCTGAGAGGCGAACAGCTGCAGCTCCAGTGCTGAAACGTCAGCAAGCAGTTGGTGCGGTTGGGGGGTGGGAGAGGCTAGCAGGACCGGTGCCGCCTGCAAGCAGGGCAGACAGCAGGGATGGGGGGGTTAGGTGGGACCATAGGTGCGGGCAATTTGACTTTTGATTCGACTTGAAAGTAAACTCGGGGATGGGGTGGCGGAGAGGCTAGCAGGACCGGTGGTGCCTGCAAGCAGGGCAGACAGCAGACGGCAGGGATGGGGGAAGGGGAACCACGGGTGCGGGCTGCAGGAAAGGCAGAATGCAGGAAAGGCAGAATGCAGGAAAGGCAGAATGCAGGAAAGGCAGAATGCAGGAAAGGCAGAATGCAGGAAAGGCAGAATGCAGGAAAGGCAGAATGCAGGAAAGGCAGAATGCAGGAAAGGCAGAATGGACATCTTTGAAGGTGGCTTGTAGCGCCTGCAGTCAGTTCAAGCCCCCCACATGACTCAAGTCATGGTTCACACACACAAGGATCAAATCGCACTGCCTGCACAAATCCAATCACATCCGCCAGACCAATCAAGCTGCATCTCCCACACGAATCATACCCAGCCATACTCACACAGGAGAGGAATCTAGCAGCACTCAGCACTGGAGCTCCAGCCATTCGCTCTCATCACGTCCAAACTGATCACATCCGCCAACGTCTCTTTTAGCTGCTCCACTCCCTGTAGGCCTCCGCTGCTTCTTGGTGTCCAGTTTTGAGTCGACTCAAATGAGTCGTGCTTTGAGTCGTGTTTTGAGTCGACTCAAATGAGTCGTGCTTTGAGTCGTGTTCTGAGTCGACTCAAATGAGTCGTGCTTTGAGTCGTGTTTTGAGTCGTGTTTTGGGTCGACTCAAACACAAGCTCTTCACTCTCATCACATCTGCCAACGTCTCTTCCAGCTGCTCCACTCCCTGTAGGCCTCCGCCGCGTCTTAGTGTTCAAACTCCCTTAGAAAAATCAGAGGAAACACGGAATGTATCAAGTGAGACCAAGCAATACTTACACATGAGAGGTAGTTCGCCGCCCCCACTGCTCTCATCACGTCCACCAACGTCTCCTCCAGCTGCTCCCGGTAGTCCTCTGCTGCTGTCACTTTGAGCACACACGATTTGTTTCACCTCAGACCCCAGCAGCACTCACACATGAGAGGTAGTTCGCCGCCCCCACTGCTCTCATCACGTCCACCAACGTCTCCTCCAGCTGCTCCCGATAATCCTCCACCGCTGCCTCCGCCTCATCCTCCTCCTCTTCCTCCTCCTGCTGCTGCTCGCTTGCCATTCCCCCGCCTACTCTGGCCGTGCTGAGCTGCACGCGTGCAGGCACGAGAGCAACGGAAAAGAGCACGGCCAGAGGCGCACGTGAGATACCGTATCTCAAGCTATCATAATGAGCTCTCAAAAGCGTGCTCAAGGTATGGATATTCGGCATGGCCTCTCCTGCTGCAGCTCTTGCTGGCGGTGGGTCTTTGGTTGGCAGGGAGGAATGGGTGGAGCAAAAGGGTGTGAACGGAGCAGGTACTGAAAGGGATGGGATAAACCGCGCTGGCGTGGGAGTGGCACTGTTACATGCCCTCGGTTTTCCAATATTGCCACCTGCCCCCTGCCACTCCCCTGTCATGACCCACCTTGGCATGCGAGAGGCAGAGAGGCAGGGCGGCGAGGAGAATGGCGTGTGCTGCTGCTGCGTCCTGGGCTGATAGAGCCGGTGATGAGGGCGATGATGGGTTGAGACGCGAGGACACGAACTCACTCAGGCCTGACCTGGGAATGACAGGGATGGAAAGAGAGATGTTTGAGGCACCTCAGAAATGAATTTGCGAGGATACTTTTAGGTCGACGAATAGGTACCAGGGGTGGACACGAACTCACTCAGGCCTGACCTGGGAATGACAGGGATGGAGGAAGTGGGGAGGAGGAGGGGAGTGGATGAGGTGAGGTGAGGTTGATGCAAGGAGGAGAGTTACAAGTCGAGAGAAAGAAGATGGTCAGGACAGGAGGCGAGCCGTCAGAGATGGTGAGCCAGTACAGGCAGAGATGGTAAGCCAGTACAGGCAGAGATGGTGAGCCAGTACAGGCAGAGATGGTGAGCCAGTACAGGCAGAGATGGTGAGCCAGTACAGGCAGAGATGGTGAGCCAGTACAGGCAGAGATGGTGAGCCAGTACAGGCAGAGATGGTGAGCCAGTACAGGCAGAGATGGTGAGCCAGTACAGGCAGAGATGGTGAGCCAGTACAGGCAGAGATGGTGAGACGATGACTAAGTGCACGCCGAGTGGCACAATGTGCTCACCAGAGCGGCAGAAGAGAAATGGCGATTCGATGATCGGAGGAGCAGACAGACGCACACCTGAAAAGGAGGGTTGGAGGGATGGAGTGGGTAAGAAAGAGAGTGGAGATGCAGGGTGAAAGACAGTGAGTAAGAGTGTGTGGCTAAGAGTGTGTGGCTAAGAGTGTGTGGGAAGAAAGAAAAATGCAACAGGCCAGACCATCAAAGAGCAAGCTCCAGCAAGCTGCAGACAATTCCAGAGCAGAGAGGCTAGATAGAAATCATGCTCAGTAACAGGGGGGACAGGGATCAATGACAGCAGCAGCAGGGAGGATAGGTCGAGGCAGCAGTGGTCTGAGGCGACGAGTGAGGGCAGGGCGGAGTGAGCCTCAAGGCCTTAAAACTCAAGGCGTTCAGAGGAACAAGGCAGTGGGAGGGAGGAGCAAACCTTAAGGCTGCGGTGGCGAAGGGGTCACGCAGGTGAGGCGAGAGCAGCACGTGTGCAGGGCCCTGTGACATGTGGTGCACGCATGCAGTCATGGTGCACGCATGCAGTCATGGTGCACGCATGCAGTCATGGTGCATATAGGTGATTTTTGAGGCGCCTAAGATAAAGCTGCGCGTGCGCAGGGCCCTGCGGCATGTGATGCATGAATGAATGAAGTCATGGTGCATGTATGTGCGCAATGGCGCATGCATGGAGTGATGGTTAGCGTGCGATGCAAACGAGTACCATGTGACAGGCAGGCACTTGAGCTGGGTGTCTCAATGCAAATACTACATTTTTAATGACTAAACACTTTTTAGTCTTTGGGGGAAAAAAGAAACTGGAGATAAAAAACGCCTGAATCGTTCTCCTTCCCCCGACATCCCTCTTGCACACCCAATATCCGAACCTCCCTGGGCTAACATGTTCCAACTTGTTTATTCAAACACTCGCATCCACATCAAAATCTGCAACAGCAGAAGATGCAGAAACAGCAAGAATCCACTCCCCCTGCTTTTGTTAATGCCAGCACCAACACCAGCACTGGCGACAAACCAGCCCACAAACCCCACCCCTGCTCCCAAACGCCCCCCTCCCTCCCACATACTCAGAATGCTACTCACCGCCAGGCCAACATCTGCTTTTGAGTCGACTCACCGCCAGGCCAACATCTGCTATGGCCGACATCTGCTATGGCCGACATCTGCTATGGCCGACATCTGCTATGGCCGACATCTGCTATGGCCGACATCTGCTATGGCCGACATCTGCTATGGCCGACATCTGCTATGGCCGACATCTGCTATGGCCGACATCTGCTATGGCCGACATCTGCTATGGCCGACATCTGCTATGGACGACGCAAAAGCAGCCACCAGCCACTCTGGCTCCTCCTCATCCGTCCTGCTTTTGCCAGCAGCACTGGAGAGTGGTGTTTGAGGCGCTTCAAAACTTATTTACTTACGGCCAGGCCAACATCGGAAATAGCCGATGCAAAAGCAGCCACCAGCCTTTCCCGCTCCTCCTCATCCATGCTGCTTGTGCCAGCGGCACTGGAGAGTGGTGGCGCAGGCAGAGCAGCAGCAGCAGTAGCGTTGGAGGGCGACGAGGCGAGGGGAGGGAAGGCGTCGGGGTGGGTGGCGGCGGCTTGGGAGAAGGAGGAGAGGAGGTGCGGGGTGATGGTTGGGAGTAGGGGCTGGAGGGGAACGGGAGAGGAGGGGGCAAGGCAGTGCAAGCGGGGGGGGAGAGGGGGGGAAACAAGGAGAGGCATGTCAAGGATGAGATTTGGGATGTCTCAAAAGACAGCTGCTTGTTTGTAACCTGGGGAGTGGTTTTTATTCGAGGAAACAGTGCACTGGTTGGTCGTTACGCAGCTCTGAGTTTTGAGACGTCTCAAACGAAACTCGCAGCTCCGTATGCATCTATCCTCACCCCGCCATTAAGACGTCTCAGAAGTCAGCTCCGTAGGTATGTATCATAGCAAAGCAGTTTCGACCTGGATCCAACAGGTAACTCGTCCTTCGTAGGTATGCATCCTCACCTCACCCACCCATTGCCCTCCCTTAGTCACCTCACCCCATAATCTCACCTCCCCACCACACCCCGTGCCTCACCTCGTGCCAGCTGGCCATCTCGCCCACCACCTCTGCTGCCACCTCCCATAGACTCGCCTCCTGGTGGGTTGCCGGTCACGTAAGCCCATGTATACACCCCATATCCGCTGCCCTCACCCCATGCATCCACTCATCCTGTGCCTCACCCCATATCCCCTCACCTCGTGCCGACTGGCCATCTCGCCCACCACCTCTGCTGCCACCTCGCACAGACTTGGCTCCTGGTGGGTTGCGTGTCATGGGATGGCATGATGCATGGCATGGGACGATGCATGGCATGGGACGATGCATGGCATGGGACGATGCATGGCATGGGACGATGCATGGCATGGGACGATGCATGGCATGGGGCGATGCATGGCATGGGGCGATGCATGGCATGGGGCGATGCATGGCATGGGGCGATGCATGGCATGGGGCGATGCATGGCATGGGACAATGCATGGCATGGGGCGATGCATGGCATGGGGCGATGCATGGCATGGGACGATGTTTGGCATGGGGCGATGCATGGCATGGGGCGATGCATGGCATGGGGCGATGCATGGCATGGGGCGAAGCATGGCATGGGACGATGCATGGCATGGGACGATGCATGGCATGGGACGATGCATGGCATGGGACGATGCATGGCATGGGGCGATGCATGGCATGGGGCGATGCATGGCATGGGACAATGCATGGCATGGGGCGATGCATGGCATGGGGCGATGCATGGCATGGGGCGATGCATGGCATGGGACAATGCATGGCATGGGGCGATGCATGGCATGGAATGATGGGGGTTATGGGGAAGAAGAGGTGCTTGAGATTGAGAGCATTGGAAAGTGGAGAACTGACACACATGCACAAGTGGAGGAAGCACAAGACCTATGTTCTCCTTTTGGTCTATGAAGAAAGACCTATGTCCTCCCTGTGTCTCGTTCCTCCCTCTCTCCCATTTCTACTCCCTCAACCACATTTACCCCCTCCCTCCCTTTGCTCGCTCCTCCCCTCGCCTTCGTGCACACGTGGACCAAGTACATACCTGGAGGGAGTCAACGGCCAGCTCCACCAATGGCAGCACGTGTGACTGCCACGTGTCAGCTGCTAACAGGTCCGTCAAGAAACCAATCCGAACCTTCACAAAAGCACAAGTGCATTGGGAGATGGAAAAAAAAGGGAGGGCGAAAAAAGAGGAGAGGAAGGCAGAGGAAAGGGAGGAAGGGGCGAGAGATGAAAGCGCGCATGAGACGCCTCAAAACTTCACTTGAAAAACAAAAGCGCGCATGGCCATATGAGGTTGAATAAGCTGAGCTCGCATGGTAAAGTGGAACGGCTTGCATGGCATGGCATGGCATGGCATGGCATGGTGGAAGAGAAAAGGGGAAGGGTGGATGTGGGAGCAGAAGGTTGGAGGAGCAGTGCTGACGTGGCTGATGCCTTCCTGGCTAATGACACTGACACACACTTGCTTGAGGGCTGAACTGAGCCTTATAAACAGGCAAGACTCATGAAAGCATTGCCACAGTAAGCATAAATGAATAAATATAGAAACAGAGGCGGCGATGCTGCCACACACGTACCCATGAGAAGAGGCAGCGGAGGGTCTTGTGCAGCAGGCTCAGGGCAACGGACCGCTCCACTGCTGCTGCTGGTGCTAGCGATGTTGATGGTGATGGTGCTGTTGCTGCTGTTTGGGAGTGTGACAGTGCTGAGAGTGACAGTGACGAAACCTTCTGGAGCAGTGTGGCGACGAATTTGCCGTGTGAAAGCAGCTGCGAGACGAGGGGGAGAGAGTGGGGTGGGGTAAGGGGGGGGGGGGGGTCGAGCGAGGGATTGGCAGGGAGGGGGCAAGGGCGAGAACGGGTGAGAGGAAGGGTAACGTCAGGGTCGTGGAGGGGACAACAGAGAGGGTGACGGCGACTGAAGCAGCTTCACTGCATACCGGGAATGCTTGCGGCGTCCTCTCACTTCTTCCCTTGCTCTCTCCCCCAACCCCGCCCCCCAGTCCTGCTTTCCTCTTCTCCCCTCCCTGCAGAACACCCTGTGTGACATTCAAGTAGACTCAGAGATCGCTTCTCTCTCCCCACTCATTCACCTCCATGGCGAACACGTGCTTGCGCTGCAGAGTCACCACCCCCACACCTTTCCGTGCGGAACATGGGTATCCTGATATCCCTTCTCTTGAATGAGTGTTGCGATTTTCAAGTAGACCCAGATATCCCTTCTCTCCCCACTCACTCACCTCCATGGTGAACACGTGCTTGCGCTGCTGAGTCACCACCACACCCACGTTCCCTGTATCATCCCACGCACACTTCCCCCTCCCCCTCCAACCCCCCCACTTCTCTCCCCACTCACCCACCTCCATGGCGAACACGTGCTTGCGTTGCAGAGTCACCACCCCCACGGACCACCGCTGCTCGTCCGTGCACTCGTCCCCCACCGCCCCCAGTAGCTCCACCACTCCCCCCATCATCCCCCACACGTTCCCCGCGCCCCCTTCCCCTCCTCCTCCCCCTCCGCCTTCCGCTGCTGACGTGGCAGCTGCCAGCCTGGCCTCCAGGTCAGCCGCTGTGCCTGGCGATTGGAGGAGAAGCGCTGAGATGGACGCACAGATTTGAAGGAGAACCTGGGAGGCGGGGGGGAAGGGGGCGGGGGAAAGGGGGGCGGGTGGGGGGAAGCCCGGGGGGCAAAAGGGCCGGGGGGAAAGGGGAAGGAGATGTGCACACGATGTGGCCACCTGGTGATCACCTGGCTCATTCATGTGGTAACCCGGTTACTACTTGACGTTGTATACCTACTAGGTGGTTACCTCATTCTGGTTATTTCATGGTACTTATCCTATGCTTGTCACCTGGTGCTATTTACCTCATCTTGGTTACCTGATGCTGGTTGGGTACGCAGCAGAATGATTGGAAGAGGGAGAAGAGAGCGGATAACAGCGCGGCTCGCGCTGACGAATCAAGAGCCGACAGCTGTAGCTGAATCTTAGATCGTAGCGTCTGCGCGGCGAACAGGATCAACGCATTGGCAGACGGCGACATTCCCTGTGGCGTCTGCGCGGATGAGGATGCTAGTGACGAGGCAGCACTAGCGAGGATGGAATGCGTGACCTGCCAGGCCTCCTGCGACTGCTGAAACGCGCCGAGCCATTGCCCAGCCGCGGGGTCGTTGGCCAATAGGAGACGATCTAACGCCGCCTGAAGCTGCTCCTGCATCTGCTGCTGCGACGGCTGCGACATCTGCGACTGCTGCTGCGACATCAGCGACTGCTGCTGCGACATGTGCTGCTGCTGCTGGGACTGCTGCTCCGCCATTATTTCGATAATGGCGGAGAGCGCTACGGGGAAAGAAAGAAAGAAACGTAGGGAATAGAGCTTTGCAGAATGGCTGGGCCTCGATTAGGCAAGGTGTTGTGTTGCAGATTCTGCTTTGCAGATGTTGCCTGACACGATATACCATGAAGCTCTGAATGCAACGCACAGAAACGTGACCGCTCTGCACCGTATCGTATAGCGTCGACTTGGTGTTTGGCAAGTGACTGAATCCACAGCAAAGCAGCAGCTCGGCGGCGATATCGATGGATGTCTGACAGGGGAGCAATTTCGGCGATGATTTGGCGCGACAGCTTCGTTACCAACCAATCCGGTTGAAGCTGAAATACAAATCGCACCGGTGCTAACTTTTCTTGTTATTTCCCCAACTAGTGGCCTCTTCTAGCACAATTTCTTCACTCATCAACACCGCGCTTGCCAGGTACGGCAATACAACATTTATGGGATCATTATGAGCGACGAAATCACTTATTTTATTCACAAAACTTTCAGACAACACTCTTCATTGTGAATCTGCATGCCATCAACATATATCCAAAACCACATCCTAAGTCTACACTAAATGTACCACATCAAGCGGTCATTTGATGCTCTTGAGAGCATCGAGTGGGATCGGACGGTCAGCAACGAATCCTGGGCGGATGAAGGCGTCAGGAGGAGCAGGCATTTCCCAGAAGTTGGTGAGGGACTTGGCCCGGTCCACTCGTGCCGCCACTGCATCCCATGACATCAGCTGCTGCAAGAACGCCTCCACATAAGCTGACCTGTTATCGGGATAGTCTGAGAGGTAGGAATGCTGGGAGGAGAAGGCCGGGAAAAAGGGGGAAGATGGAGATGACAGGGGAGGGGCAAGGAGTGATTGAACAGAGATTGGGGGAAAGAAGAAGAAACGAACAAAGCGTCACAGCTCTGATGCGAGTTTGTTTTTGTTGAGGTGCCAAAAGACATCGATCAGCATGGGGCATCAACCATCTATACCAAACCATCAGGCACCACTGAAGCAGCAGGCATTTTGAAGCAGCAAGAGAGGCATTGAGGGCACCGTACCTCCCACAAGTCGAGCACGGTCAAGGGCTGCAGGAGTGGCAAGCACAGGCAAGTAGGAGGCCGCCACACATAGAGTGGCCAGTAAAGGCGACGACGAACGGGTGAGTAGGAGGATGAAAGGGAAAAGGGGGAGGGAGGGGGAAGGGGAACAGGAGGTGGAGGAAATAGAGCAGGAAAAAAGCGGGGGGCAAGGTGGGTGGGGGGAGAACAAAAAGTGAGATTTCTTATCGAATACTCTTCGTTAGTCACGAGTGCATCAACTCAAGGCGTGATTTTTCAATATTTGCATGGAAGCAATGTCGTGAAGCGAGACAAGGGGCTTGAAGGCAATCCCAAGGCACCTGGAGTAACGTGACGAATAAATGGAGCATCTTTCTTAGAACGAAAAACAAAGGTGTGCGACTCGACTCACAATGCGGTCGAAGACGAGGGGGTTGAAGGCGTTGACTGTCCTCTCCACTCGCAGGTGAGCCACCTGCAGGCGGTATGTGTTGGGCACTGGGGGGGGGAATGCAGAACACATGGAGAAAGCGAAGGGGATGGGTGGGGCCGAGCGTATTGTGATTCAGCCATGACCTAAATCTCCGAGGCTCGGCTTCTTCGCAGTGCTCAACACAACCACTGCGCTTTCACAGCTGCTCAGCTCGGACGTCAGGTTACCATGCAGGTAGCAGATCACATTGTAAAACTTTTGTGGCGCCTCAAAAGCACATCACATCGTAAAACCAAACGCGCCATCAGATCAAGCACGCCATCCAAACAAACACGGCACCTGCCTGCCTACTTACCACCTACCAAACAAGTGACCACTCAGGAGAGTGGGTGGATCTTACCGACATTACTCATGGACGATACTAGCTACGATACTAGCTGTCCTGAGACGATACTAGCTGTCCTGAGACGATACTAGCTGTCCTGAGACGATACTAGCTGTCCTGAGACGATACTAGCTGTCCTGAGACGATGGTCCCACCGTCCATGCATGTGGCATCTGAGCTCACCTACATTACTCACCTCGCATGTCTAGTTTTGAGGCGCCTCAAAACGTGGCATCTGAGCTCACCTCGCATGTCTGCAAGCCACTCCTCTGGCACAACCGTGTCCACCTTGGCTGGGAGGCGAATAAGAGGAGGGGGTGGGGGAATAAGAGGAGAGACAGAAAGATAGAATGGGAGGAGAAACAAGAGGGAGAGGAGGAACAGGAGACCCAGAACAATGATATCTGGAAAAGAGAACCATAGATATTGTTCAGAATCATGCTCAGTGATCGAGGGGTGACATGACAGCAGCAGCAGCATAGATTCTGAGGCAGCAGATGGAATGAAGGAACCAAAACAGGCATGCAGCGTGCAACTCCCGCTGCCGCAATTGAGACACCAACATATTGAGCTTGAAGCTTGACATCAAAGCACCTGAGAACCACACTTATCCCAACCCAAACGACAAGGCGCACACCAGAGGCACGGAACTCCCTCGGGAACTTTTCAACTCGAACGACCCCAAATCCCGAAATCCGCGTGCATTGAGGTGGTTTTGAGGCGCCTAAAAAAGCACCTCAATGCATGGCAGAGGCACGGGATTCCCTCGGGAACTTCTCATCTCAAACGGCCCCATATCCCGAAATCCCACCCCACCACTGCCCACCAGCTTCAGGGACATCTCAAATGTTTTCTCCTGAGAGCCAAACGTATCCCGAGCCATAAGAGGCAGCACACGCCCGTCGAAAATCCCTCTGGAACCCCTCATACGACCCGAATTCCCGCTCCACCAGCCGTGCCCACCAGCTTCTAAGAAATCCCCAATGTTACCTGAGAGCCACACGTATCCCGAGCCAAACGACAAGGCACACGCCTGTCTGAACTCCCTCTGAAACCCCTCCACCGACCCGAAGTCCCGCTCCACCAGCCGCAGCACCTCCCCCTCTGGCCGGTTGCCCCCCTCCCTGCCTTCTGCCTCGTCTGCCGGCTGCAAGCCCGAGAAGAAGAACTCGTGATTCCACGCCTGTCGTGGGGTAGGCGAGGGGAGAGTGGAGAAGGGAGAGTTGAGGAGGAATGAAGGAGGGGGAGCAATGGCAGCACCTCTTCCTCTGGCCGGTTCCCCACCTCCCTGCTCCGGCTGCCTCGGTTTCCGGCTGGAATCCCGAAAAGAAGAACTCGTGATTGCATGCCTGTCGTGGGGGGAGGGAGAGGGAGAATGGGAGGGGGGGGTAGCAGAGAGTGGGTATGAGTGGGGTGGGGAAGATGGGAATAAGAAAAGCAGCTGCAGCACCCCTCTCTGGATCCCCAAAAGATCTCTTTTACAGACACACACGCACACCCCACATATGCCAGCACAGCACGCATGCACACATGAACGCATGCATGCACACATGAACGCATGCATGCACACATGAACGCATGCATGCACACATGAACGCATGCATGCACACATGAACGCATGCATGCACACATGAACGCATGCATGCACACATGAACGCATGCATGCACACATGAACGCATGCATGCACACATGAACGCATGCATGCACACATGAACGCATGCATGCACACATGAACGCATGCATGCACACATGAACGCATGCATGCACACATGAACGCATGCATGCACACATGAACGCATGCATACACACATGAACGCATGCATGCACACATGAACGCATGCATGCACACATGAACGCATGCATGCACACATGAACGCATGCATAACGCATGCATACACACATGAACGCATGCATGCACACATGAACGCATGCATGCACACATGAACGCATGCATGCACACATGAACGCATGCATGCACACATGAACGCATGCATACACACATGAACGCATGCATGCACACACACACTCACACTCTGTAAGTAAACACCATTCTGATCTCCACTAGCCTTCGCTATAAGCACATCAACACCTCGCAGCGAGGTTGAAGCAGAGAATGGGGTTGACCACCTTCACCATCTTTATCCTCGTTACAAGCACATCTACACTACGCCCCCTCCCCCCCACTTCTCCCACCTCAGCAGCGAGGTTGAAGCAGGGAAGAGGGTTGCCCCCGTTATAAGCCACCTTCACCAGCTCCTCCAGCGGCAGCCGCTTCAGCGCCAGGTCAGCGTCCAGCTGGCGGTTCAGCGCCGCCAGCTGGCGCCCGTGGTGCCCCGACCAATGGGCTTCCAGCGCTGACCGCGAGACGTGTGGCTCTAAGGCATCCTGTGGGAGGAGGAGTGGAAGGGCAGAGGAGGAAAAGGGGGGAAAGCGAAAGGGTAAGGGTGGAAGGAGAGGAAACAGGGGTTTAACGGGTTGGGAGGAGGGGGTTGGGTTGGGGAAGGGGGAGGGGTTCCCGGGGGAAGAGTAGAGATGATAAAAGATGACGGGGGTGAGCGAGGTTTGAGGTTTAAGGCGTTGCCATGCGCCATCCCCTTAAACCCGAAACCCAGGGCAGCGGCAAGCATCAGGGGCGGCGCATCTACCACAAGCACCCGCTCTGCCGGCGCGCGGGTTAAGGGTTTAAGCGGGGTGGAGCGCGTACCAGCTGGTACGGCAGCGGCGCTAGCTGGTGATCCCCCACGGCGCGCACCACCAGCAGCCCCCCGCGCTTGCGCGCCCCCTCCGCGGATGGCGCTGATCTTCCGCGCGCGGGTGTCCGCACGGGGGTGATTCGCACGCCGCTTATCCGCGCAAGGCCAGCCTGACGTGAAGAGGGGGGAACGTGAAGGGGGGAGAGGGGGGGTGGGAAGGTGGGAGAGGGGAGAAGAGGGAGGACACGAAAGAAGAGCTGGCCTTGAGAGAAAATCAGCGAAGGGGGATACTAGCAGCGAGGCGCGATACTAGCAACAGAATACGATAGTGATACCCGCGACTTGGTGCGCTGGCGACACAAAGCTGACCGCGATCAGTCTGACGCGATCGAGCTGACGCAATCACAATACCGCACATATTTCTAGACGTGAAATAACAGACAGCGAGGTTGCACAGCGAAGCAGCGGCACCTGAATGCGTCGTCGCACGCCCGATTCGCTGCCCGCATTACACGGCGCAACGGACGCCGTCGCTCGTTGTCGGCCGAGCGTTGATCTCGACAGTAGCGGGGATGCGCTTTGCGTCGATAGGACGCGACTAGTCGTCGCCATGAGTAATGATATCGATGGGGGTAAGCCGCCGTCCACAGGGAGTTACGTCGAAAAGGAGGGCGATAGTGGCGGGCCTCTCAAATAACTCGTTATGAGCCCGAATCGCGTGAGGCGCTAGACAGTGCTAAAACAAACCTTGCTGTCCTCGTGAAGGCTTGTGCTCTCCTAACCTTTGATGGGACTGGTTCTGGCGGGAAGTAAGGCTCGCGGGGGAACGTGACGGTTTGGTTCGGTGCAAGTTAGATTCACGAAGGTGCAAGTGTGCCAGCCCCCGCCCAATCTGTTGCGTACGCACGCTGTAACCGTAGTTTGTGTGCGAAGAGAAGGGAGTTTCGCAATCGAACTCTCGTGCGCCCTCCTTTTCGATCTGGGTTGTTACACAGTAACAGACGTGTATTTTCAGGTACTTCGTACCATCCACGACATTCCCCAGGTTCCATATCTTCGCCAGGTCATATTTGGTTCCCTTGTGCTTCAAACCCTACCCAAACGTATAGAAGTGTAAACAAGCCGCTCCGACAAGCACAGAACCTCAATCAAACGCAATTGTGAACTCATTTGTTCAGCTTGGCGGTGGAGGGCTTTTAGCGTGAAACACGCCAGCCGCTGTCTGTGTCCCCCATTCCTTCCTCCCGCTGAGCGTCATTCCTTGCTTTTCTGCCCTTGTATGATTTTCCCCATTCCTTAAGTTTTTTTGGAGAAAATCATAAGAAGCTCCTTTTCCTGTCGCTCTATCGTTTGAAATCCACGGCGGATCGTGGCACAGCCCCGTGAATCCCGTTCGATCAGGCATTATCAAACTGTGCTGATGGCCCTCCGTGTGGTAGGTGCGCCGTCGAACGCGCTAATAGGAGACCTCAGCATTGCAAGGTCGGTCCATTCGCGACATTTGCGACGTTCGCACCTGGAGAATGCAGCGTCGTTTATTTGCGGCCTTTCGTCGCTTAGCGTCGCACACCCAATCAGAGGCCAGCCAATGAGATCGCGCCGCGGCTCGCGGCGCGATGCGAATAAAGGCGGAGTGGTGCCGATCCGCGCGCTCGACGCAGCACAGCCGTTCGATTACGAGCATCGACAGGTGAATGTACCGACGCGCTGACGAGTGACAATAACGAGCATTAGAAAAAAAAAACTTTTAAACGAGTCACGCTCGAATTATTTGTTGACGTTGTCTTTCTTCACTCTTAGCCCCGTGCTCCTTTTTCTCTCCCGTTCTTTTCCCCCTCTCGTCTCGTTATCGCGTTCTCCACTCCCCCAACCTCCCCCCACCAAATATTTTTTGGTCATCTTGTCTTCCTCCCCTCTGGTCTCTCCGCCAATCAGAAGCGGCAGCTGGAAGAGAAAGGCAGGCTGAACATCGGCATTTTGGGGTTCGGCAATTTCGGGCAGTTCTTGGCGCGTCGCTTCGCGCGCCACGGGCACCGCCTGACAGCGTGGTCGCGGTCCGACTACTCGCAGGTCGCCAAGCAAATGGGCGTGCGCTTCTTCACGTGAGTGCCTGAGTTACTCATAGAAAGACTGATCCGCACGCCATGCTTTTTATTTTTTTGAGTCAATTCAACACGTGAGTGCCTGAGCGCGTCAATTCTCCTAGCGAGTTTGATCGTCAACCCATGGTTACCGGTTACCTACCTGCTGTTGCAATCTCACCCCAATGCAACGCTCGTATAATCTCCACTAGCATTCGTATTCCCTCTCCTTCCCTCCGTACTCCCCAGTGACATGGACGATTTCTGCGAGGAGCATCCAGACGTGGTGCTCCTCTTCTCGTCCATCATCTCCAGCGACTCGCTGCTGCGCTCGCTGCCGCTGCAATATCTCCCCAACCCATCTGAACTGTTTCCCATCCATCCCAATACCCCCCAGCGACATGGACGATTTCTGTGAGGAGCACCCCGACGTGGTGCTGCTCTGCACGTCCATCATCTCAAGCGACTCGCTGCTGCGCTCGCTGCCGCTGCAGCGCCTCAAGCGCAACACGCTCTTTGTGGACGTGCTGTCCGTCAAGGTCTTCCCCAAGATGCTGCTGCTGCAGGTACGCTGATTGATTGCAGTGCAGTGCAATGAGGTGCAATGCGGTGCAATGCAGTAGCGGTGCACTAATCCTGTGTGCCAAGCACAACACGATGCTCTCTTCATGGACGTGCTCTCTGTCAAGGTCTTCCCCAAGATGCTGCTGCTGCAGGTGTGTTGTGATTGCCGACATGCAGTGCGGTGCAGTGCGGTGCAGTGCGATGCAGTAGCTGCGCTCGCTGCCTCTACAGCGCCTCAAGAGGCACGTTCTTTGTGGACGTGCTGCCTGTCAAGGTCTTCCCCAAGATGCTGCTGCTGCTGCTGCTGCTGCTGCTGCTGCTGCTGCTGCAGGTAGGTGCGCTGGTTGGCTGCTGCTCGTGCGATGCAATGCAATGCGATGCGATGCGATGCGATGCAGTGTGATGCGATAGAATGAATGAAGATCTTCTCTGTCACGCTCCATTGACTCTGACTTTCCTCCCTTTCGAGTTTGTCATTCTCTGCACGCACCCCATGTTCGGTCCTGAGAGCAGAAACGGCTTCTTCTCGTCTCCTCCCAAGCACTGAACACGTTCTGATCCTTCCTTCCTTCTCCATCCCCCTCCCCACACACACCAGGTGCTCCCCCCCGAGTTTCACATCCTCTGCACACCAGGTGCACCCCATGTTCAGCCGGGAGAGCGACAAGGGGCCCTCTTCCTCCCATCATCTCCTCCTGCCCACACGTTCTAGTCCTCCTTTCTTCTCTCTCCTCTCCGCATTACCAGGTGCTCCCCCCCGAGTTTGACATCCTCTGCACGCACCCCATGTTCGGCCGTCCACGCGTTCCAATCCTCCCTTCTCCACCCTCCACACCTCCCCACACACACCAGGTGCTCCCCCCCGAGTTTGACATTCTCTGCACGCACCCCATGTTCGGCCCGGAGAGCGGCAAGGGCTCGTGGGAGGGGCTGTCGTTTGTGTTTGACCGCGTGAGGATCACACCAGGCGAGAGGGCGGAGAAGGCCGACCGTTTCCTGCAGATCTTCCATGGGGAGGTGAGGAGGTGGGGGACGAAATAGTGATGAGATGGGGGGAGTAGAGGAGGTGGGGAGGTGGTGATGAGGGAGTGGGAGGGAGGCAAGTGGATGGCCTGTGAGCAAAACTGCGCCTGTGTTTGACTGAGCAGGCATCATGGTGGGCGAGAAGGAGGAGAAGGAGAAGGAGAAGGAAGAGCGTCTGATTTATGCAAAATTCCCATTTCTTATCCCCTCCCATCCCATCGCATCCCATCCCATCGCATCGCATCCCGTCCCATCGCATCCCATCCCATCCATCCCATCGCATCGCATCCCATCCCATCGTATCCCATCAACCTGCCCATCTTCCATGCATCAGGGGTGTCGCATGGTGGAGATGACATGTGAGGAGCATGACAAGTATGCAGCAGGCACACAGTTCGTCACCCACACTGTGGGCAGGTGAGGGGCCTGCCCCGTGCTGCCTCTTCAAATTCATGTGTTCCCCTTTTGAGACGTCTCGAATGACGTGTGAGGAGCATGACAAGTATGCAGCAGGCACACAGTTCGTCACCCACACTGTCGGCAGGTGAGGGGCCCGCCCCGTGCTGCCTCTTCAGATCAAACCCTTCTTTTAAGTTTCACCCACGTCTGGCACCATTTTCCTTTGTCGCTCTTCATTAGTAATACAGGTAATAATATTGAGGATAGCAATATTAGTGAAACTCGTACCGCTACTGTTTTTGTCAACGACGAGCCCATTTTACTCTAACGTTCTCCCCCTCCCTTTCTCCCCCTCTCCCCTCCCTTGTGTTGATACGCATGGATGCTTGAATGCATATGTCAATATGCATAAAACCTTTGGAACCTGTATGGGTGCATGGGTGTGTGCATGTGTTACACCGCCATTGCATGCAGAGTGTTGGGCAAGCTAGGCCTGGAGAGCACACCCATCAACACCAAGGGATACGAGACGCTTCTTAACCTGGTATGCTTGCACTCACACCCTGCAGCAGTCAACCTGCATGATGGTATGCTTGCACTCACACCCTGCAGCAGTCAACCTGCATGATGGTATGCTTGCACTCACACCCTGCAGCAGTCAACCTGCATGATGGTATGCTTGCACACACACCCTGCAGCAGTCAACCTGCATGATGGTATGCTTGCACACACACCCTGCAGCAGTCAACCTGCATGATGGTATGCTTGCACTCACACCCTGCAGCAGTCACAGCGTGGCCTCATGCCCAGCATGCCAACGTGCACAATCCACTTCACATTCACACCGTGCGATTTGATTTGTGCTATTGTAATGAGGTGACTTTTGAGTCGACTCAAAAGTCTCCTGCTGCAGTCACAGCGTGGCCTCATGCCCAGCATGCCAACGTGCACAATCCACTTCACATTCACATCGTGCAATGTGAATCTCGACGCTGCATATTAGAGCTTGCGCTCTCTTGCTCTCTTTCCCCATCTTTGCTCTCCTTCTCCCTGCCTTGTGTATGCTCATTCCACCGCGTGTCAAGAGCCACCAGCTGTGCCCTTTCACTTGCACTCCACGTGCAGGTGGCTTTTGAGGCGTGCTGTGCTGTGCTGTGCCGTGCTGTGCTGTGCTGTGATCCCTGCCTCGTATGCTCATTCCACCGCGTGTTAAAAGCCACCAGCTGTGCCCTTTCACTTGCACTCCATGTGCAGGTGGCTTTTGAGGCGCCTCAAAAGTCTTGTGCCACTTTCTCAGAAGTCACCTCGCATGCCCTTTCACTTGATGTGCGCACCACTTGCAGGTGGAGAACACGGCAGGGGACAGCTTCGACCTTTACTACGGGCTTTTCATGTACAACACCAATGCCACTGAGGAGGTAGGGTTCCGATGGGGAGGCTGCTTCGACTTTTGATACCTCTCAAAACGCCACAGAGCAGGTAAGGTTTTGTTGCTGGATAGGTAGAGGAGGTATGGTTCCAATGGGGAGACAGCTTCGACCTCTATCCCGGGCTCTTCATGTACAACACGAGCGCCACTGATGAGGTAGGGTTCTGTTGTTTAGGCGCCTCAACAATAGAACACAGCAGAGGACAGCTTCGACCTCTACTACAGGCTCTTCATGTACAACACGAACGCCACTGTGGAGGTAGGGTTCTGCTAGTGTCGCACACATCTATTCAACACAAGTGCATCAAAAGACGAAGCAGCACGTGTTGCAATTGAGCATAGTTCTCCCACTCCCATCTCGCCTCTTCCCTTTCACCCCGTTCACCCTCCCTTGTGCATGTCTGGAGGTGGTAGTTGATGCTGTGAAAAGGGTCGATTTAGAGTCGACTCAAGAATAGAGGCAGCTGCAGTGTCTGGAGGTGGTAAATGATGCTGCAAAGAGGCAGGTGCTGGATCAGCCGCACAGCATGCTGTGAAGAGGC